CGACACCCAAAACCCAGTGGGTTTTGGGGACATCGACCCCCAACCCCTTCGGGGGTTGGCCTTTTTTTTATTAAAATTAGTGGGTTTTCGACTCCCAAACCCGCTGACGGGTTTGGAGGATCGACTCCCATTCCTCGGGGATTTCGGTGGAAATTCCGGGGGTTTCGGGGTTTGGGAGTCGATCCTCCACTTTTTGGGAGTCGATTAGCTAAGACCCTTTATTTATTTTATGTGTTTTTATATTATTTACATGAGTTAGAGTGTTTCTTTTACTTATGTAATATTTTTACTTTATACTTAGATTTTTATGTAATTTATTATTTTTATTTGCTATGACAGGTTTTCTCTGCCATAGTAGCAAGCTGACACAATACATGCACTGATCTTTATTTGTTATCCTATTTTAAAGGATCTGTTAGTTTGCACACATAACAGATACTAGTAATTGATCCACTAGTAAATACTATGACAGCACTAAAATATCATTGCAAATAAAAGATCAGTTACTATATTAACCTTGCTCTTTCCTCTGGTACCTGAACCCATGATTCAGAGCACTCCTTCATTTCTCCCCTTAATATTCTGGAACATATAATCTGTGCCACTTTCACTGATTAATCCCCAGAATATTCAGACACCAATTAAAACAGTTAACATTTTGATTGATACCTTTATACATAGCCAACATAAATCTAGACTATATTTATTGTTCTTGAGCTTCAGTAAACGACTCAACTTATCCCTAGTATTCATAGCCTTGCTGAATATTCCCATCAACAATATCTATTAATCTTCAACTAATTTTGTTAAAGCTTAATAAAAATTGTTAGCCCTTTCCCTTTGGGGAACCAACTAATCCCAGGTGAGTCCTAGTACCCTGGATGCCTATTAATACCTTGTATTGAATCATTGATCCGGATGCGCTGTTGATAGCAAGCCTCCCATTAAATACCATACTGATAGAGTGAAACCTCCTCATTACAGGACAGGTATTACCACCCACTACCTACTACTCACCATGCTCAAACACACCAGTCAACTCATAGTAACAACCTTCCACCAATAAACACTCAGGTTAGTTACCCAGAGGCTGACAGTATTAGTAACTTGCGGCCGGCCTACAAGGCAAAGAATCTCCTCAAGCTGTTTTTGGGAGTGGGTATCATCTGCACGTACATCCTTCTTACCGCAATCAGCCTGGTCCTCTGGACTATCAATCTAGTCCTCCTTGGCACCCATGCTATTCCCACCAATGGCACCATCTATGGCAGGGCTGGGACAGCAATGATCACAATGATTAGCAAGAATTATGGGATCCCCATTGCCTGATTTTGCAAAACTTACAAGTCCAGTGATTGGGTCATGCTCAACATTATTGTCAGAAACAAGATCAGTGATTGTCTTCTTGTGCTGCATCTGCATTCACTGTTCAATTTAGGCATCCAGAGAATCCTTTGTTTAACACTCAACCCTCAAATCTCTTTTTGGGTTCTGTATTCAAAAGGTACTCTGCAATCAAATATCCCCCCGGCTTCATACCATCATCTCTTCACGTTTCCATACACCTTACCCACCCCTTTGCATGAGAGCAAAGAGACAGAGATACAAGAGCTGTTGCTGTTGTACAATGTCACTAGACCCAAAGAAATCACAAAGGCTGGCATCATTCCCATCCAAAGCATCCCTGCCTTGCTTGAGGACTATAAACCTCTGTTGGCTGAGTGAATCTAGTGGAGAATGATGAAGTTCAAGGAATCATTACAATAACACACACTCTTGAAAGTTGAGAACAGGAAAGGGTAATAATGGTAAAGGAGTCCATCCAATACACGGTACATTGCACAGTTAATCTCTGCTGAGATACCTTCACAATAAGAAGAGACACATTTAGACAGCATTGTTGTGCAGAACATGTTGCATGGTCCTTGCAGAATTAAATCAAATTGTTGTAAAAACAGCATGTGTGACCACTAGATTTAGTAGTTATATGAACGTTAATAGACAATGGAATTATGGTGTTGTCTGAGCAAGAAAATGTGGTGTTAGACACAATATTCCCTAGTTGTGGTTTATTTCAAGAAGTTTTGTTGCTTGTGCACATTTGTTTTTGTAAACTTGAAGGGTAAAATTGCCATCTCTCTTAACCAGCCTTTTTCATCTTAGCACTTGCTAATCACAGGCTATGAGATTCAACGGCCTATTTTAGCCTGTTGCCTGTGCACCAGGAGGGAGTTCAACCTAAGACACTGTTGGGGGCAAGAATAAATAAATCAAAATCTCATTTTATGTGGTTCCAAAGGGAAAGGCAAAAACCACACATTTTTATTTTCTGCAAAACCCTGATTTGAATAAAATTGGATAACATGGTGGTGAACTGGAATATTAACAAAAAATTGAGAAATCCAGGAAATATCCCTGGGTGTGCTATCTACATGATTTAGACACTTATGATATGCTAGTTAATTGAATAGATTGGAAGTAAAAAACTTCAATACTAAATTTGGATGTGGAAGAAGAAAGGGAAAACACACAGAGCTGCCAGATGAAATTGAAAAAGGATGTAAATATAACTGCCACTATTGAAGGCTGGAATACTGGTATGTAGCATCAGGATTATTTTCTGTAAATTTCAAGAACTTGTTTGTAAATCCTTTTGTCAAGGGGTACTGAAACACCTTGAGCTAGTACCATCAGTGGTTCTACCTTATCCCAAGAAATGGTTTTCTCTTCACTTTGTTGGAGTTCGACAAGTCCTAAATTTCCAGTCCAAATCTTCAAAGTTTGGTTGGTATTATTCTTGCAAGGCACTTGAATAATGTTTCCTTTCTTCAACGGCTTGTTATCTTCTGTTTATGCAACAGATAGCTGCAGAGCATTTTCCATAAGTGAATCACCAGTGAAGACATAGTAAATGTTTTATTATGAGTGACTTGTTCTACAATTCCCCAGACTTTGGAAATCAATGTCATTATGGCCAAGGACAAGAAAATAAACTTCATGATCAGATTCAGAGGGCTTCCCAATTTGAATTTCTGATTCAAATTTCAAAGATTTTTCACAAAAAGATATGGTGGTGAACTAGCTGTTGAGCACTGAGTATTTTAGCCTTAAAACTGTGTTCTGTTGAAGTAGGACCAGGTTCATCAGCACTCCTGAAAATTAGATGGATTAGCAGTTCATGGCCTGAAGTTGATGGTTTCAAAATCATGAATATTGAATTAAAGGGAAAAAAATAAAATAAAAAACAAGAGGGAATCAAAACAATATTTACCTATTGTTACTACTGAATCAGGAAAATGAAGAGAGGTGAAATTATTCCCCAATGAAATTATGGATCATGGATGAGAAATTCACAGATCTTAAGTATGCTGAGATTTTACTGGTGCATCACCAAAAATTGATTGCCAGTCTGTGCAGCATTGACTGTTTGAAATGTTTTAAAACACCAAAAATAGCAGAGTACATACAAGTTCAGTCTAATTTTGAGTGCACTCACCAGGAGGGAGGGTTGATATCTTTATGATTCAAACTTTGAAAATTGATCCAGAATTTATTGGAAAGGTTTCTTGGCTGATATGTAATGAATATTTAAATAACCAAATAGATATCATATTCTTATCTATGAGGTTATTTGCCAAGATGTCTCACATTTTCATCCTGCAAAACTGTTGAAAATTATTATGAAAAAATTTTCTTATCAAGGTTCAGTAAACCACCAGTAGAAGCCATCATGTGGGGGCTGTCAGCTGATTTTATTGAAATTTGAACAAAATTAATTGATTCTGTTTTGAATCAGTTCAAATCCTATTAATTTCCAACCATACCAGTACAATTAACAGGATTATAATTTTTCCTTTTAAGCTAGAAGATCATAAATCGAAAATTGCATAGAAGATGAGGGAGTTGATGATCACAAAGCCCCCTTTTATGAGCTGTTACAGTTGTAGCATACACAGCCTGTTACATACATGTCACAACTACCCAACTTGTAATATTCTTATCCATGAGACTATTTTCCAGGATTTCCAAGGCCCTGTGTCACAGCACATTAACATTTGGGTGTAATATGGCCTGATTACTTTAATAAAAAATAAACCAATGGGAAAGATGTAACAAAACTGTAACTAAGTCAAGTTCAACTACTGGTTTCATTAATGCTGAGAACAAATTTGATATCTTAGGCCACCCTTCCTTTGGGTAAAATGTGTAATATTGATATTATGGTGCTGAAGGCAGCCCATTGATTCAACTTTGTTTGTACTGCCCTTGGAATCAGCAGTTGTCCTTGCCTCACTAACAATTTTGTTACCTATTTCTGGGTGGTTTATTATTGAATTAATCAATAATAAGCTCAAATTTATGACACTTCCAAACAGGGCCTAATACTTTCATGCTGTAAAACTATTGAAAATTATAATCAAAAAAAAATCCTAAACCACCAGCACAAGCCATCATGTGGGGGTTGTCAGCTGATTCAATTTAAATTTAAATTAAATGAATCAATTTTATTTCAAATAGATCAAGTAGGACAGTTCAAATTTGAATAAAATCTTGTTGATTTTGGACAAAATTCCTGCTTGCTGGTTTCAAAAAAGTTTAAAAGTTGGCAGACGCGCAGGCCAACTTTATGCATGCAAACTCAAAGCGCTCTGCTGGTTTCACATAAAAATTTTGCTGGAATATTTCAAATGTGAAACATCCTAATCCAACTAATGTTTAACCATATTAGTAAAATCAACGCTGCAACAAATACTGTGTTTGCAATGTATTGTTTCATGTATCATGGTCTTGATGTAATTTTTTTGATGCCCAATGTGGTTCTATTGAGAGTCTTATTCATTTGATCTGGCTCTTTTCCATATATGTTGGTACAATTCCTCATGATACAAACTGTGCATTGTATTTGTTGTAGCGTTGGTACAATTAACAGGATTATAATTTTTAATCTTGAGCTAGAAGATCATAAATCCAAAACTACATGAAACACCAGGGGAAATTATAGGGCACTGGCTTTTCAGTGACTGCAAGTCTCAACTAAGTCACTGTCAGCCACAGAGCACCTTTCACAGTATGTGAAATTTACCTAGTACCTGCAAATAATAATAATTGTTTGAATACAAGAAAATAGTATACATTGTTGTTAAAATAATAAATAGATAAATATGTATTTACATTAAGGGCCTTACTAAAAAAACGCGGTTTTTCCGCGTTTTGACGCGGTTTCTGCTGCGCGCAGCACACGCGGTTTCCGCGTTTAGACGCGGTTTTTTAATTATTTTTTTTTTGCCATTAATTTTAAGTTTTTTTGATTTTTTAAAATTGTTTCCTAGGTTCCCAAGCGTGTAGAATTTAATGGTCAAGTCCAATTTCCATAAAAATGAGTTTTAATTATTAATTTTTTTTTTCTACTCATTTTTTCCATTAATTGTATGCATACATGTTTTTACCTTATTTTTCATGTTTTTTTGAAATTTTAAATTTATTTCCTAGGTTTTAATGTGCACAGAATTTAATGGCACAGTCCAATTTTCTCAAAACTCAACGGTCCATTTTTAATACTGAAATTTGACATTCTTTTCACTTAAATTTCTACAGGTTAATTTTCATTATTTTTTGACAATTTAAAATTTTTTCCTACACTTTGAGACATGTAAAGAATTATGGTAACAACCATTTTTCCCCAAAATGAAAACTATACCTTGAATGCTGCATTTGACACCGTTTTGTTTTATTTAATTCTTTAATTTTTCACTCAATTGTTTGCATTAATTTCTTTACCTTATTTTTTATGATTTTTTGAAATTTTAAAGCTGTTTCCTACATTTAAAAGTGTTTAGAATTTAATGGTAACATTCAATTTCCATAAAACTCAGCGGTTCATTCTGAATACTGTAATTAGTCATATTTTTCAATTGATTTTTAACAGCTTAATTTTCATTATTTTTTGACATTTTAAATTTGTTTCCTACACTTTCAGACATTTTGAAAATGATGGAAAAAATCAATTTGCATCAAAATAAAAACTGTATCTTGAATAATGCCTTTGACATGTTTTTTTAATTAATTCTTACACGCTTAATTATCCTTATTTTTTGGAATTTTAAGCTCATTTCCTACAATTTGAAAGGTTTTAAAATTGATGGATGTATTCATTTTTCAGTCAAATACAGTTTGTATACGGTACAAATTATGCAAGAAACGGTGCACACTCTCGTATTATAACTGAAGCTTTGAGTTTGAGGGAAATTGGACTTCACCATTAACTTCTACACATTAATAAATGTAGGAAATAAATTTAAAATTCCAAAAAATGATCAAAATTAAGCCGGTAAAAATCAATCAAAAAAGCATTAAAAAAACATGTCCAACGCAGTATTCAGTAACAAGGGCTGATTTTTATGTAAAATGGTTGTTACCATCATTTTAATCATGTCTTAAAGTGTGGGAAATAAATTTAAAATGTCAAAAAATAATGAAAATTAAGCTGTAAAAAATTAAGTGAAAAAAATGTCAAATTTCAGTATTAAAAATGAACCGTTGAGTTTTGAGAAAATTGGACTGTGCCATTAAATTCTGTGCACATTAAAACCTAGGAAATAAATTTAAAATTTCAAAAAAACATGAAAAATAAGGTAAAAACATGTATGCATACAATTAATGGAAAAAATGAGTAGAAAAAAAAAATTAATAATTAAAACTCATTTTTATGAAAAATGGTATTCACCATTAAATTCTACACGCTTGGAAACCTAGGAAACAATTTTAAAAAATCAAAAAAACTTAAAATTAATGGCAAAAGAAAATTAATTAAAAAACCGCGTCTAAACGCGGAAACCGCGTGTGCTGCGCGCAGCAGAAACCGCGTCAAAACGCGGAAAAACCGCGTTTTTTTATTAAGGCCCTACATTAAATCTTAATTTATAATTTATAATTTATATATATTAATTCAATAATTAACTGTGAAACCCCCTAGAGTATTGCACTTATAATATCAATAGGATTTCACAGGAATATAATTATAATAAAGAATTAAAGCAATGTTTATTGTTATATATTATGTACATATTTTATAATCCATAAACTAATTACATATGTTTAAGAAACAGCTAGTAGAAGCGTGAAATGCATGAGGAATAAGCTATATAAACCTATCTGAAGCTTACCCATCCTTGATCACATCATCAGGGAATCAGATTGCATCATAGCCTTCTTGGATGGCGTCATCAGGAGCCTTTTGTGCTCTAATTCAAAGCTTGCATGGTTCAAAGTGGCCTACACGGGAAATGAGCCCAATTCTATATGCAAGACTGAATTATGCATGAAGTACATGCATTTCTCATGATCACAAGCTTGCATAAGCAGAGTTACACGTATGCAACTACCTCTACAATTGCACAGCCCTTGCACAGTAACTGCAGCTCTTTCAATTACGTGAGAGATGGGCCACAAATTCAATTATGCATGTATGATCTCATGTCCTAGGACCTTCCACCAATGCATAGCACTGCACAGCTAAAGTTCCCATGTTTTGAAAAAACTTCAGAGCTTCTAAGAAGCTCCCTAGTGCCCTTAGGGCCTCTCCTCTTCCCCTGAGCCCTCTGTAGAATATCTAAGGAGCCCTGATTCCTACCTTTTCCCCCCAGGAAATTCTAGTAGCATCAAACCAACACTTCTACTGTGATTATTGTGCGTTGATAAATGCACTGCCTCCCCCTTGCTGCCCGCCCACACCCCCACTCCTCCAAAAGGGGTGTGTGATCACACCTGCCCATCTCTGAGGGGCGGGTTTGATCACACCTGCCCATCTCTGAGGGGCGGGTTTGATTGCACGCCCCTCGGAAGCCTGATTTTCTGAGGAATCATGCTTCCGAGGGGCGTGCAATCACACCTGCCCCTCAGAGATGGGCAGGTGGGATTGCACACCATACACTGGGAGGTGAAGGGAGAACTTGAGTCTCCCCTCACTGATGTAAGCAAAACTTGCCCATAAGTTTTGCTTACGTGAAGGGAGAACTTTATTTGTTCTCCCTTCACCCAATGTTTCTTCCCTCCCGGCCAGGAGGGGTACTGTCTCATGTACAGTCTCAACGGCCAAGAGGGATTACTCTTGGCCTGAAGGACCCATTGAATTTTCAAGAGAAAAAAAGCCATTCTGCTGCAGACATGTTGACCCATCTCACTCAGCTCCACCATCTGTTCCTCCATGCCATGCTTTTACTACGCATGGCTTCCTATGAGAAATGGCTAGAGGTATGTATGGATGAAATCGGCTAGGATTCTTGGAAGTAGTTTTACAGAGAAATTAATGATCAAATCAAAGGCTTTGGTTTCCGTATCAATCTCCTGTGTGAGGAAGGTAATGGTCCGATTGATATGGACCAAATCCAACAATTGCTGTCTAAAAATGAAACATTGGATGGCCTTGGTCAGCTCTTCTTTTGCTAAAAAAAAAACACCATCCCCAGAGTCATTCAAGCTGACAACCCAAAATCACAATTTTGTTTTCTAGGTGGATTTAATTAGGTTAACACTCCATAAGACAACAGTGCCAAACTTGGGACAACCAAGATTGGCTTTTACAAGAAGACAGTCCACCACATTCTCCTGCCCGCCCCTTGGAAGCCTGTTTCCTTGTAAAAACTGGATTCTGAGGGGTGTGCGGTCAACCCCGGGTTTGATTGCACACCCCTTTGGCTGATGAATAAGGTTCGTGTTTTCTCTGATAAGAGGGAGGATGTCCTTCCGGATGATCACATGGCCTTTGACGGCCGGACAATAGGATATCTATGTATACAGACATGTTTGTATGTAAACAAATTCTCTCATCAACATAATAAATAACCATGAAGAAGAAGAAGACTGCAAGCTATGATATGTATGTCCTGCTTGGCGCGCCATGTGCTGATGACCAAGATTGAGTAAAAAGTTGATGAGGGTGATGTTTGGGAGCAGATCGAAGAGGTTCATAATCGGATTTGCTTGGCTGATATTGGAGGTGCAGCAGTGTCTTCGATCATGAACCGCCTTCGACAACCAGTCTGTTATAGCGATCCCCTGCCGATGGTTGCCAGTGCAGTTTCCGTTTCATTTTGCACCTCCATCCCATCTTATCCCACAAGCTGCTCTTTGCAGATTTCTTCCACCCAACAACAACAACAACCGGCAAACCAAGAAATATACATTCAATATTTTTTCGTTCTGTTTCTCCCGTGGCTGGCTGGCTGGCCGAAGATTGGCTAGATTCCAAGTGTATGTATGTAAACTAGTGATTCATTTGACTGAATGAAGGCTTTCTTCTTGATTGGCTGGTTTCCTTAGAGACACTCTCCCCATACACTCCTGTCAGCTCCTGCATCCTTCATTTCTTCTTCTTTCCTGCTCCCTTTGAGGCTTGTCGACTGACCCTTTCGCACCTGTCTTCTCTGCCCATTCCATTCTCCAAACCCAAACAGAACACCAAAATTAAAGAAACAAGATATTCTTTAGATACAAACCCGACTCTTGATTCACAGGCTCTTGTGAGCTTGGCTTGGCCCTTTTGCGACCCCCAGAACCCCGTCCGATCGCTGCTCGATTGATCACTACCCCCATTCAAGACGCACGAAGAGACCCAAGCTTGGCCTCACTCAAGCCCACCCTGCTGCCGGCTTGTCAAGTTGTCAGGAAGAGTGATCCCCTTTGAGCTCGTGCGCACGGACGACCAGGAGAGTGGTAATACCTCATCCTATTATATCCTCTTTTGATTCGAGCTAGCTCCCCTTTCATCTTATCCTTCCTCTCCGATCAATCGAATCTTCCTTCTTCTCAAAAAACACCCCCCCAACATCAACCCTTCTCCTTTCGACTCTTTTGGTCAGCCCGAGCATTAGAAAGAAAGAAAAAAAAACCAACGATACATAACCGAAAAAAAAGGAAACGACACCCAGGCCATCCAAGAAATAATTCTCAACACTCCGAAGATCAAGACGCTTTGTCGTATATTCAAATTTCAGATCCATCAACCTCGGCTTCTCTTTGAATTTAAATATTTTCTCACTCTCCCCAACAACAACGACAACAACAGTCCAGAAATCGCCCCCCTCATTCAGAGTGCAGTAGCAAGGAGATCTCCCCATCATCCCCATACAAGAACAGTTATCTGCTAGATCCACCAGTGTTTTCTTTCCTTGTCTATCATCTTCCGTGGTTACCTCCGGAAGAACTTTCATTACTACTGCTAGTTATCTGAGACTTCACTCCCCTTCCCTGATCACTCACTACCTTTCATTCATTACCGACATCAACACATATATCTCTTCAGGTTAGTCCATCTTTTGTCTTCAGATCCATTGCCATTTTCCTCAGCCGTCCTCACACAACAACAACAAAAACAAAAAAAAAATCTTCTTGGGTCTGTTTGCGTGGAGATAGAACAGAATGGCAGCAGCCGTAGCTCTTCCCAGCTCGGCCACCGGCGGAGCAACGCTCCCCGGCTCGGGCCCCACCGTCGCCAACACCTCCACTAACAACAACAACAATCCGGCCGGCAATGCTTCCTCCACTACAACCACTTCCAACACTACTGCGCCGGCCCAAAAACCGGCCAGCTCTCGCACGCCCGCCGAGCCCAGAAGGGTCCGATTCAACGTCGGCTCAAAGTTTGTCCTCTTTTCTCATCTGGCTTCGGTATATGTACTCGTCTCTTACAAATAGTCTTGCGTCCACTCCCCCTCAGATATCATGTCATGGATGTCATCGGTGAGGGCGCTTATGGCGTCGTCTGCTCTGCCGTCCATCGTCCTACCGGCCAAAAAGTCGCCATCAAGAAGGTGTGTTTTGCGCTTCTCAGCCCGCATCTTCTCTCTCTCGCTTCTTCTGCTGCTGACTCTCCGCCTCCCCCCTCTCCCTTTCCCTCGTGTCTCAATTTTTTTTTTGTTTCTTCACAGATCACTCCCTTCGATCATTCGATGTTCTGTCTTAGAACTTTGCGCGAATTGAAGTTGCTCAAATACTTCCAGGAACAAAATGTGTCCGAAAACGTGGGTCCCTCCTCCTTTCATTTATGATCACCTTTTTTGGGTAGTTTTTTTTTTTTTTTGGATTGACTGAGGGTTGTGGGGTTGGTGTGTGTAGATCATCTCGATTGTCGATATTATTCGACCTCCCTCAATTGAGGCGTTCAAGGAAGTGTATTTGATCCAGGTAAGAGTTGCATTTGCATTTGATGCAGAAGAAACTTTCGAAGCTAACGAGGAAAAACATGGGGCATATTATAGGAACTGATGGAGACGGACATGCACCGGGTGATAAGGACGCAAGACCTCTCGGACGACCATTGCCAATACTTCATATACCAGACCCTGCGGGCGCTCAAAGCCTTGCATTCGGCCGACGTCATCCATCGCGACCTCAAGCCCTCCAATCTGCTCCTGAATGCTAACTGCGACCTCAAGGTGTGCGACTTTGGCTTGGCCCGCTCCGTCAGGACCGCCGAACAAGAAACCGGATTCATGACCGAATATGTGGCTACTAGGTGGTATCGAGCCCCCGAAATCATGCTTACGTAGGTTTTCCATCTGGCCTTGTTTCACATCCATGGCTTGTCCAAAAAGTCTGATCCATCATTCTCTGGGTATTTTTCTTACAGCTTCAAGCAATACACCAAGGCCATTGACGTCTGGTCAGTGGGCTGCATCCTAGCCGAGATGCTATCGGGGCGACCGTTATTTCCGGGACGAGACTACCACCACCAACTGACGCTGATCCTGGACGTGTTGGGGACGCCGTCGTTGGACGAGTTCTATGCGATCAACTCGCGCCGGTCGCGGGACTACATCCGGGCCTTGCCGTTCCGCAAGAAGCGGCCCTTCAACGTGCTCTACCCCAATGCCTCCGCCCTGGCTATCGACTTCCTCACCAAGACCCTCACCTTCGACCCCAAGAAAAGACTCTCCGTAGAGCAGGCCCTCCAGCATCCGTACCTCGAGGCGTATCATGACCCCGACGACGAACCCGTTGCTCCCCCTCTCGACGAAGACTTCTTCGCCTTCGATCGCCAGAAAGACGAGATCAGTAAGGAAGAACTCAAACAACTCTTGTTCGATGAGATTGCCAGTTCGTCCCCTCTCTCTTCTCTTCTCTTTGCTTCTTCCTTTTCCTGGTATTGATCATCCTCCTCACTTTTTCTTTGTGTGTTTTTTTTTCTTCAGGCTTCCATTCTACAGCGTAGCCTTCTCTTCCTTTCCTTTTTTTGTTGTTTGATGTCTCTTTCTCCAGTCCATTCCCTAAGCGATCGGTGGCGACGCCCGGCCCTGCCGCCCCACTCCTCCACCCCTGCCGCACAAAATCCATTCGTTTTCTCTTGGTCTATTCCGGTCCCCTGAACCTTGCTTGTCTTACCCTCTTCACATTTGCTTCCTTATTTCATCTTCTTTCATCTAAAAAAAACCCTCCTCCTAATAATCGTCAAAAAAAATTCAAATATTCTGGCTTGGTTTGGATCTTCCCCCTCCCCCCACCTTACCCTTTTTTCAGATTCACTTTTTTTTTTTTTTGGCCGTTGTCCCACTTTCTTCTTCTGGATGATCAGATCAGATGAACGTTCGCCCGTTTATTTTTTCGTTTGTTGTATCCTTTTTTTTTCTTCCATCTATCAATCCATCACTCACTCACCGGTGTTTATATTTTCCGCTTCAATCGGCTACATTATATAAAAACTTCTTCTTCTTCTTTATTGTTTTTCTTTTTCTTTTCGTGTAAAAATTTAAATTCAGGGACATTATATATTCACCACATTTCAACGTTCCGGTCTGCTTTATATATTCAGTCTTGGTGTGCACTCCAATCTCACGGGGGATGTGCTTCTTTTTATGATGCCACCTTGATGATGATGATGATCATACGATGGTGACGCCAGAAGAAGAAGAAGAAGAAGGTTTGGTTTTGTTTTTGTTTTTGGAATAAGTAGTGCGTTTTGCGTCTGTGACATGATGAAGAGCAATCAACCATACCCATACACCCTTCCTGCCCCGGTCATCCCTCGAACGACCAAGATGCTACATTCAAATACCAAGGGCAGGAAAGAAAGCGCACATGAAGGCGAGTCATTCTGGGCAATCCTTTGTTGTACATGTTGTAACTATCCCAAAAAAAATGGATACGAGATGTCACATCGGCGCCAGGATTTTCGGGCATGTACGTTAGAGAAAATGACTGGCCGGATGGCTGCACAGCTCTTAATTTTTGGCGAGTATTGGAGGACTTCCCGTCGCGATTTAGAAGGCTTTTTAGACCTCTCTCAGTCCTAAATTAACAACACAATCAACATTTCAACCAGCTCAGGTGACAGTGATTGCTGGAAGGCTCAAGAAAAAATATTTTTGATGTTGAAAAAATTAGATCTAAGGGGTATAAATTGACTTCTGGGAGGGTCGCAGATTGCGACGGGAAGTCATCCAATGGTGGAGGACAATTAATATTCACGAAGATACAAGAATGGCTTTTTGGTTGCCTGGGCGAGATCAGATTTATGTAAGATCACATGCTTTCTACATGAATTAGGGATTTGGATGGATAAATCCAGCGAAACGCAGTCCGTCGGTCCTCGATTCGTGGCCCCAGTGGGGAACGGCCGAACGGAGCCTCGCCGCCGTCCCTTTTTGAGAGATCATCCTCATGGGGTATGTTCATTTTTTACAGGTGAAAAGGTGGAGAAAGTCGGAGAGATCTCGACGCCAGGTCGATGGGATAATGTATGTATGAAGAGGACCGGTAGCAACATGATGATGATGATGATGATGCAAGTCCAGCAGGATTAATGGTGTCGTTCTTGCTCGCTTCTCCCGTGGATCCATTCCGCTCTCATCTGTGGAATCCATGGAGGGTGTTGGCCACTTCAATCATCAAGCATCCTGGCTTGTCCATCCTTAAATTCGACTTTAAAAAAGAGGTGCCCTCAGTGCCATCGTTCTCTCCACTCCTCACTCCCACATCGCAACCGACCTATCCATTCCATCCTCAACCAAATTTCCAATCAGTGTCCTAATCACCCTCTAGTTTGACCTCTCCTCAATCCCCGGATCAAAACAATGCATTGCTCGTTCTTCCTCGCTTTTCTGTTGGCTGCTGGTCTGTGTTTTGCCACCGAGTCCTTCCGTTCTTGATGAGAGAGCGTTATCTTGAACTCACAACCCCTGTTTTTTTTTGTCTTTCTTTCTTGCTTCTTGTTTGACTTCAGTCGCCCTTGCTGGAGCCGACAACGGGTAGGTGATCCAATGATGACCTTATGTCGAAGCAACACAAGCTGATCATCCCTCTGTGTGTGTGTATTTTTTCACTTGATTACCGAATAGGGTTCAAAAACGTGATGAAGGGATCCCCATGATGGGACTAGCCAACAAGCTAGTCAGCTTGGGAGGATCTGAAGACCGCAGCGGCGAAGGCTACCCAACCAGAGGTCCTCGTCGAGGCCCTCTTGCAGACGAGTCAGTGATCAACCTCCAGCTTATGACCATGTGCCACAACAAAAGTAATGGAAGCTGACTTTTTTTTTTTTTCTTGTCTGTTTGCTACCGCAGAGAAAGCAGCAGAGGCGACTCGTACCAGGATCACATGCATCAAAAACGTGAAGAAGACTATGGTTTCAATGCACCCCCCGGATATGGCGTAGGCGGTCGGAAGACTGCCGGTGAATTCGGCAGTCAATACCCGCAATCCAGGTCAGTGATTGACCAACCCTCCTGTCCCGTCCGTCCAACGACGCAACTAGAGCAATGCAAGTTGATTGACTTTCTTTCTTTCTTTTTTTTACTTTGGGTGCACAGGTTTCCATCAAAAGATGGCGTGAGGGAGCGCAAGGGCTACATGGGTGGTGATGACGGTGGAAGTGGCTACATGGGTGGTGGAAGCGGAAGTGGAAGTGGCTTCGGCGGAGGTCGCTAGAGAGACTGCCAGCCCCCGGGCATCTCCCAAATCTCCATCCTTTGTGCTTCGCTGCCTTCTTTGTGCATATTTTCCGTTTTCTCGAACCGGTGTTTTTTTCTTCCTGTTCCCAACCTTCTCATCAATGGTGCACGATCCCCCCATCCCCCCGACCTGATCTTTGTATCTTCCCACAGTCCGTGTGCTAGGCCCCACATGAACGGTTTTCGAAACAGTCCTCTTTGTCTTACTTCGTCCTTAATTGCCTTGTATCAAGTCCATCTTCTGTCCTCTTTCTCACTAGACCCCTTAGATTTACATTCATTTCCTTTTTGCAAGTATTACCCTCAAGCGATTATCCTCTTCTTGCCATCATGAGGATACAAAAAAATTGTTTCAAAGGCACATTGAGTGCGGTTCCCCTCGTATAGCAATTGCCCTCGGCAGTGGCACCAAAGACCTGCAGATTGGTGACATGGAGGCTATTTCAACCGACCAGGACCTGGAATGGGATTGGTTTGCTTCTGACTACAACCATTCCTATGTTATGCCCTTTGCCTTTGTAATTGTTTCAATTTTTTGTGACCAGCGTTTCAGGCGCGGAGGGGACGGAACAGCCAACACCGGGTGATGTTAAATCATTTGCTCGGGTTGGCGGGTATAGTGGCGAGATACTGTCACATTGTGTCGACCTCGGCCTGCCCTCCAACTGAGAGTCCGAGCAGTGGGAGCCTGGTCAGGTAACTTTTCGCAATGGCTGCCGCTGGACCAAAATAATTAGCCCGGGTTCAGAAGATAGATAAAACGTCGGTTTTTTAAAGTGCGGTCCAGCTCGAAAGATTTCTGGCCAACTTGGGTTTCTACTAATTTCGAAGGATTCATTCAACGTCCTGCTATGTACACCACGGGGCCAGTTTTTTGAAACTGGCTCCATCCGCTGGACGCTTTCCTGAAGAGAGCGTCCAACGGATGCGATCAGAGCGTCCGAGGGACGCTCTGGCAAGCCAGCATCACTTGGATGCTTCCAAAAGCATCCAAGTGACGCTGGCCAAATATGAAGCGTCCAATGGACGCTAGGATTTATCGTCCATCGGACACTCTCCAACCAAGAGGATCCGATGGGTGGTGGTTTTTAGTGTGTCCATTGGACAATTTGATTTAACATTTCCAATTGGAGCTGGTGGTCGATGGTCGAAAAAAGATCCAAAAGTTTGGTCAATGGTAGAAAAAAGCTCCAAAAAAGTGGTCGATCGTCGAAAAAACACTCCAAAAGTGCGGTTGATCGTCGAAAAACATTCCAAAAGTGCAAGTGATGTGATTGTCAAAAAAATCTCTAAAAATGCACTTGATCATGAAAAAAGGCTGTGAAGTGGCTTACTCCGAAGTGCGAATTCGGTCTATGAACCACAGTTTGGGTTCGCTTGCAACAATAATTCTGTGTAGATTGTTTTCATTGCAGAAAAAAAAAGCATCCAGTGGACGGCTTGAAAACTATCCAGTGGACAGTTTCCCAGAAAACGTCCGCAAACTGTCAGGCAGAGTAGTGTCCAATGGACACTCTCTGCCCTGCAAGTTCTGGACACCTCAGATGATGTCCAGAAGAGTGTCCATGGGACATCAGAATAGTCCCGTGGTGTATGTCACTGACGAGGGTGCCTACGGAGTGGTCTGTCCAGCCATTTACGGTCTGACTGGCCAACAAGTTGCGATCAAGAAGGGTTGCTTCCCACTTCTGAATCTTGTCGAATCACGCGTTCGCTTCTACAGCATTGCACACAGGCTCTCACTCAGCCCATTACTTGACATTTGATCTAAAAAACATCCCTATAAATTTAGGCGCAACCGCTTGGAAGAGGCTACATAAATGATAAATATGCAGTTACTTGTAAGGCAGACAAGATTGCGCTTCCAAACCACCAGGCTTCCTTGATTGCTATTGACATGGTGACACCTACTCATGCATAGAACTTCAAGTGGTTCCAAATTGGGGAGGGGCCATTGCAACGTGGTGTACACCACGGGACTATTCTGATGTCCCATGGACACTCTTCTGGACATCATCTGAGGTGTCCAGAACTTGCAGGGCAGAGAGTGTCCATTGGACACTACTCTGCCTGACAGTTTGCGGACGTTTTCTGGAAAACTGTCCACTGGATAGTTTTCAAGCCGTCCACTGGATGCTTTTTTTTCTGCCATGAAAAGACAAAAATGAGCACACCCAGATTTGAACCCTTGAGCTCATGGAGGTGCCACTGCACATCCTCAAAGCCTGTCCTTACTGACTACACTAAACAGATTATTCTTACAAGCAAACCCAAACTGTTGTTCATAGACCAAATTCGCACTTCGGAGTAAGCCACCTCACAGCCTTTTTTTCATGAACAAGTGCATTTTTAGAGATTTTTTTGACAATCACATCGCTTGCACTTTTGGAGTGTTTTTCGACGATCAACCGCACTTTTGGAGTGTTTTTTCGACGATCGACCACTTTTTTGGAGCTTTTTTCTACCATTGACCAAACTTTTGGATCTTTTTTCGACCATCGACCACCAGCTCCAATTGGAAATGTTAAATCAAATTGTCCAATGGACACACTAAAAACCACCACCCATCGGATCCTCTTGGTTGGAGAGTGTCCGATGGACAATAAATCCTAGCGTCCATTGGACGCTTCATATTTGGCCAGCGTCACTTGGATGCTTTTGGAAGCATCCAAGTGATGCTGGCTTGCCAGAGCGTCCCTCGGATGCTCTGATCGCATCCGTTGGACGCTCTCTTCAGGAAAGCGTCCAGCGGATGGGGCCAGTTTCAAAAAACTGGCCCTGTGGTGTAGTTAAGTCGAGGATTAAATCTTTGTTACACTCAATCCGCTCATCTTTGGGATTCCTAGTGACTCAATTGTTGTTGTCTGTTCTAATAAACAAACATACAGGAGCAAGGACACAGACTCGACATACCTACACAAGAATCCTGTGTGAAAGGAGGTCACGTTATCGTCTTCAGACTTTGCTTCCTTGGATACGCGTGCGTGAATCGGCACGCAAGAGAAACCCTCAAAAAAAAGCAAAAAAAAGGCAGAAAAAAAACGGTTTCCATGTCTACAATCATGGAACCGTGATTGGCCCCAACTTCCGTTACCACCACGTAAGACATGGTGATTGTCGTACACAGCATAGAGATGCTATGGGGAATCGGGATCGCCGTTTTCCCTATTTCTCGGTAACAAGGAAAACTGGCCACTTGGAGCTGATCATGTTCATCGTCAATCCTAACGGCACGGGTTCCTCCAAGTGTGGTATTCCCCTGACAAGCCGTTAGGACTTATAAGCTTGTACGATCCTTGTTAAGCGCAAGACCATCATTGTCCCCATCAAAAAACATTATTATCTTGCACTAATCCACTCCTCATCAACACTGTGCTTAATCGACATGCTAACTAATTACTACAACAAAAAATATCCGACTTCATCTCATCTCTTCTGCACCGATGCCTGAATCGACGGAGAGTTCTCCTCTACAATTCCTTTGATTCCCCAGCACCGTTGCTTCCACTCCTCCATTTCCTGCTCCGTACACTTCTCTCCAAACTTCACTCGATGTCTCTTCTCGCCAAGCAATTTATGAGCCCTCTTGATTGCTTCCCACCCAATCGACTGCCAAGATTCATGACGCCTCGAAAGACTCTCGATTCAAGCCATTGATATCAGCTATGCCCGACAAATCCGGCACCGAAACTCAAATTCACGCCCGCGCATCGTTGCTCGACCACCCGGCGAATGTAGTGTGCCTCCGCTGTGGTAAGATAGATCAAACCCATAAACCTAGTTAAAATATATTATTACACAAAATAGTGTTCAGATATATTAAAGAAGAAGGGTTAAATTACAGAATAAAATGTATAATAATTACAGGGTTAAAACATAGCTAAAATAAAGCACAAAACAGGCCTAAAATACACAACTCTTTATGAATAATAATTATACAAATAAGCTGTAAAAACACATAAAAGTCACTACATCCATCTTAGATTGGTAAATCAAGGTATTGATCAGAAAGTGCTTCACAGACTAGTTCTAGAAAATAAATCTTATACTAATTAGTCTAAGAATACCATTCACATATTAATTAATCTAAGAATAGGCCTCATATAGTAGATTTACAACCTCTTGTATTAGAAAGGCACTTAGAGATTAATTCATATCAGATTAGGCCATCTCAGAGTAGTAAAAACCACTCTAGAAGTACCCTTCTCAGACGAACTTGTGTTCAGGCCAAAAACCCATGTACTGCAGAACCATTTGTCTATAAATAGAGGCTCCTCTGGCTCATGTTTAGCTTTCTCCCTCCTCATGCTAGCTACAGAACAGTAATCAGAGATATTACTCAGCTTTCATCACCCCTGATTAAGAGATCCAGAGATTATTAGAGCCCTTGAACTTCCCTTACCTCAATTTTGGCCATAGAAAAGTAATACAGAAATATTGCTTAGCCATTCTCACCTCTTTGAAAGAAATTAGAGAAATAAGTGTACCTTTATCAGAGCCCAGAGAAACCAGAGAGACTTATAAGATCAGAGAGCCAGAGAGAATTTATAACAGATTTAACAGAGAAACCCTACAGAAGCCCTTATTACTCAGAAAACCCCATCAAGCTCCTTAACTCTTCAACAGGTATTCTTAAGCAACAACAACAGTAGTTTCAACACTAAGATAAATTTAGAAATAAGCCACACTCTTATTTTTCTTAGTGTAACTTTCCCGCAAGCTAGACAGGAGGGCAGTCTCACCCACACACCAATACTAATTCTACTAGTTCATAGTCTTATTAGCTATTTTATCCCCTCCAAGCTCTTTACTCACTTGCTGAGCAGTTCCACACCGCTCGAAAACGAAGCATTGTTTCCACCGAACTGACCTGAGCGAAATCCTTCCTATTCTTGACGGTTTTCAAGACTTCGACCACCCATTTCAATGTGTTCAATCCCGACGATTGAGCTCTTGCATTCAGGATATTGTTATCGACCATGGCCACCTCTTTGTTTGACTGTGTGCTAGTGAGCATTGTGGAGTGCGTTGGTTGGAGCATTGCTAAAGTGAGACTGTCTGATAACGTTCCAGAACATGGTATGTGCACCCGAGTTCGCTTTGTGGAAGTGTCTGCTGCTGAGTTGTGGTTTTCTTTTCCTCTCATTTGTTTTGAGCTAGTTTTTGGGTTGACGATTTTGATGTCCGAGTCAACATCATCAATTAAGATGAGCTCTCTACGCTGTGAGGGTTCCGGTGCCCATGTCGTTGGGTTGTGCCACTCGGATGGATCCACCTGCTCAATTACCAGCATTTGATGCTCACGAGCGAAATAGTACATGTGTTTACATGCACTTGCAAATTGCAGAAAATGTGCACATGTACACTTCCGGAGTCGTGGCATGTGGCCAGGCCGACCAAGCTCGAAGTGGACAGTATAAGCCTGGTCGATGGGATTTGTAAAAGAAGATGTGAAAAACTGAAGGAATGTATGGTTTTGTTGTACATGTTAGTTTTATATAGCAGTGAGGGTGAAAGGCAACAAAATAATTTATTTACGTGTAGATCGTGCTGAAATTGTCCAACCCCTAAGAGCAGCAGTGATTCCTTGGTGTAGCTGTCAGCAAGGATCTTTGACCGCATCTGAAATTTGTTGGTTGTTTGAGGGGCAAAGCCCATATTGACTTGCTTGCAGTTGAACCGATAATCGGTTGCAACTTCATCTGCAAGAATCTGAATGACCTCGTCTATGCGACATTTGTCCTTGGTAAGATAGCGCGCTTTCAACACTCGGTGCCATGCCTCTGTGTAGTTGTTTGTGTGTATTCCTTGATGAGCGGTCTGTTTTGAGAAGCAGCTATGTCAGCTATATTGTAAAGTAAAGTAAAAAAAGTGGCCATCAGGGGTGTTGAGAAGACCTACTTGGCGAAAAAAACGGCCCAATGTAATATGTGTTTGTTCCACTGTCCGTTAACATAATTTGCAAACTTAGGATGAATGTTGTTCCACTTTTCAAGGAATGTGACCATCTTGGGTATGGGACTTGAAGTGGAGTAAGCTATGTCTTGGAAGCTAGCATCTCCTTTTGCCAGGATGATTGAAAGGCAAATATGAAGTCGGGTGAGTTGGAGAGGACAGGAGTGTAAGTTGACCAGTGATCCATCTTGAGTTGTTCATTCCAGATTGATAGTGACCTCAATACATTGGGATCACGTTTGGCAAGCACACTTGCACGTTTTCGGATTAGATGACGGACCTTGTCGTAGGTGATCTCCCTAGCCTCAGCTACAAAATGGGCCTTATCCAACTGCATCAGATAGGAGATCGTTTCCAAAAAAGTCAGTCTCTAATTCCAACAAAATGTTAAGAGAATACAGGGGGATAAGGAGAGGACTTGCCGCAAACAGATCAGGTAAGCGAATGAGGCGCTGAATTGCTTCCCACCCAAGGCCTGAAACCACACAATCGTTGAGCCCGAGCTTAACAAAGCCTCTCGATTGGAGGGTCCCGAAGGGACCCCGCGTCCCAAAGGGACGCTCTCCGAAGGAGAGGCTTACATGATAAATCGACCTCGCGGCCTGAGGTCATAAGGTTTAAGGCTGAAATTTCACACTTTTGAACTTCAAATTGATTTGCCTCCAAAACCTCAATTCCTTCTAAGGAAATGAGGTTACTGGAGGTGAGCCTTACATCTTGGCTTTTGTTTAAAAAAAAATTAATCTTTTAGCATCAAAAACGAGCCTCCTCCCTCTGTTTGAAGGAGGACATGCTTTGGGAGTTAAATCTTGGCAAATAGTAATAAATGTCAATTTTTTCCTCTGGTTCAGATAGTCGGATCGTGCTTGCATGACCGGATCGGAATTCTAAAACTTGTTATGGCGTAGTTGACAGGTTCTTTGACAGCATGAATGCGAGTGAGAGTGAGACTCCGAGGCTCAATGACATGGTTGTCATGAGGGCGTGAGACCGGACATTGGTGTGGAAATATCCGGTCATGGTCAAATCAGATTTTGTATTTTTCATTTTTGATCAAGCATAATATCTTTGGCTTGAGGAGGAGTGGTAGGAAAGTAAAGGCATGGAAAAAATGAGAAAAATCATGCGAATCTATGTCCTGCGCGGCTTCCCTAGCAACAGTGATCTTGTGGGGCAAATGGGGTGTTTTGTGATTTATCCGGCCATTTGGCTGGATGCCCTCAGCCCAGATGTGTGACATTATGTGCAAGCTCCTTCCCTGACGGGAGGGGGCCCTTCGGGCCCAGGGAGGGACTTGTGTTAAGTTCGGTTGAGCCATCGGTCTACATTTTCAGGTGTTTGACAACGCTTCATGTCCTCGTAGGAGTAAGGATCATGGTTGTGGTTCCAAGACCATACAACCCGGAGAGTGTTGGTTTTGATGTCGTGGGTAATTACGAACTTGGCCAAGCATCCACATTTGCGTGATGGATGATGCTTTCGTGAGTTGGGGGCCCGGTCAAGGTGTCCACCACGAGGACATTTATACTCCAGTTTGAAGGAGAACTCCGGCCGACGACCACGACCCTTTGGTGTGTCTTTCAGTTTCAGGGTGTTGTCGGTGCCCTTTTGAAGTGTCCACCGGATGGTCGCCCCCATTGCACAAACAAACTGTTGTGCATCTTCAGGAGTATGCCCCGGAATGGCAAAGCGATAGGGGTTGGTGGGGAACGAAGGAGAGATCCCATCAACCTGGCGGACGAGTCGCAAGGCATTGGGAGGGACATGGATTCCAGCAGGAACTGGAATTTCTTGAGTAAATGGAGGGGTGTCAGCTGGCAAGCAAAACCCAGTTACCCCTTAAATAGTTGACTTAATGTTTTGCTACACCAACTGCATGTTTCATACATTTCACACTCATTTCACTCATTTTCTTATTCATTTCACTCATTTCATTATTAACATACTCTACATATGCTTGTATCTAGTTGTCCCTGCCAAGCTGGATATATAAAGTTGTACGGACTGAAGTCTATTGTTCCCCAGACTTTCAGAAGAGACGAAATAATAACCACCCTTTATTTTACATCATTCCTCTTTATCTTGAAGATACATCAACACATCACTACTTCAACCTAGCGTACTCCTCTTAAATCACCAAATCACTGTTTGGATCTCAATACGCCTGACTGTCTCAAAACTTATCAACGGCCTGGGCGTGAACTCTTTGGATCAGATCAGTATCTTACTACGACGTGGAGCCACTGGACGGATCCAGTAAACTTCCATCGAGCGGATACTAGTCACCTTGGAGTAACCCACCGCTGACAATTGGCGACCACCCCTCATACCTGTACACCTGGACAGCCTGTGCAGACGGAACCCTTGCTTTACGAGGATTCATCTTTTTTTTTCAGTTTTTTTTAAGAAGAATAAAATCTGGTTCAACCTCGTGGATTAACACAGATAAATCATCATTGTCTTAGTATCCCTCGTCGTTTCTTGGTCATCAAGCCGGACGACAAACATCTCTCATCCTCGTCACCCTCAACCCTTGGTATCTTAAACACCGCCACCGCTTTTGGTCGTTCTTGTGCAAGCTTCGTCCTTTCGCTGGTCAACCTCCTATATAGCCCTTTTTCGTTTTCCTTTTCTTTCTCTTCCTTTCCTTTTCAATCAATCATGTCAATCGCAGACGAGATGGTAGTACTTCGGAAGCAACTTGCCCAACTCCAATCCAAGCTCAAAGCTCTCGAGTCGCGATTAGAAAAGGAAGTGTCAGCCCGAATCGCAACGATAAAGGATAATTCTATCATTAACGATGTTCATTCGACGAGTCCTCCCTATCCTTCGGTCAAATCATCAAGTATACAGAAATCGACTAGATCAGCTCAAAGTCGAGATCAGAGGACGTTACGAAGCCGCTCGTTCAAATTGATGCGGCATCTCATAAACATCGTCGATGTCTCACGAGCTGCAAGCACAGCCAGCGAGCTTGAGAAGAAGCGTACCACGATAGGCAGCTCGCGCGATCCGGTTACCTCTGTTTCATCAGTAACCGAGTTGAAATCCTCAGCGAAGCCAACAGAAGCAACGAACTCGCCACCAACCAAGTTGAAAGCCTCAGCGAAAACGACGCTGGGCTTGTCATTGAAGGAGAAGGCAGTTCGGTCGAGTAATCAGAACGACTTCCAGGCCTCAACCATCTTGCTTCCACCAATAACCGAGCCTGAAGCCCCGGTGAATCCAAAGTCAGCGAAGACGCCTCCGATACCGCCAAATAACTTGGTCACAGCTCTCAATACAAGCTCTGAGACCCCTCGGCTCTTTCATCCCAAGCGAACCCGCAAAGCCGACTTGGCTAGCTCAAACAAAGAAGCCAACGAAAGGAACTTGCAAGCTGTCAGTGAACTGCCGGTCACGAAAGAGCTCAACACCAATGCTCACTCTGAATTGGAAGGGGCAGTACCAAAGACATCTGAGACATTAGCTATAACAAGAACTTCAGGAAACAAGAAAGCTGAAATCATTGAGCACAATGACCTGCGACGCGGCTGTAGTAGATTTGCTCTCCTCAAGTACGACCCTGCTGTACTAGACCTCCTACCAACATCAGTCAAAGAGAAACGATTCATCAGAACTTCAACAGTGACAGATATAGAAAACTTACAACAGGCTTCAGAAATCTTAGTTAGAAGACAGGTGCTCGGTATTTGGGAATGGAGAGAAGGTACCTCAAAAGCTACACTTCACGAATACAAGACACCTGAACTTGGGACTACTATGAGCAACAGAAGGTTTAAATTTGTTGGTTTTGCATGGAAAGGTGCTTTAGGACAACAGCCCCCAAGAATAGAAGAACTTCATGAAGACATCTCACAAGGCGCCGACACTCTCAGATGGTATTGGTTCAAGGATCTCTGGTTACTTTTTTACTTTGATTAATTTTTTTTCAAATGGCAGCTTCATCATTTTTTTTTCTGTTTTTTTTAGTGGTAGCAAATGTCAGCTGGCAAGCAAAACCCAGTTACCCCTTAAATAGTTGACTTAATGTTTTGCTACACCAACTGCATGTTTCATACATTTCACACTCATTTCACTCATTTTCTTATTCATTTCACTCATTTCATTATTAACATACTCTACATATGCTTGTATCTAGTTGTCCCTGCCAAGCTGGATATATAAAGTTGTACGGACTGAAGTCTATTGTTCCCCAGACTTTCAGAAGAGACGAAATAATAACCACCCTTTATTTTACATCATTCCTCTTTATCTTGAAGATACATCAACACATCACTACTTCAACCTAGCGTACTCCTCTTAAATCACCAAATCACTGTTTGGATCTCAATACGCCTGACTGTCTCAAAACTTATCAACGGCCTGGGCGTGAACTCTTTGGATCAGATCAGTATCTTACTACGACGTGGAGCCACTGGACGGATCCAGTAAACTTCCATCGAGCGGATACTAGTCACCTTGGAGTAACCCACCGCTGACAAGGGGGAACAACATCACAGATGTTGACAAGTGGGTAAGAGAAGTTGGTGGATTGCAGAAGAGGGTCGTAGTGGGACATGGTGGAGGTGTTGCAAAGAATAGTTGAAGGTTGTCAAGATGTTTGAGGATTTATGGGTGGATTAATGGATTAAATTGAATTTCGAGAAGCACAACAGCAAGAATGAGCTGATTTAAATCAAACAGCTAGAACGATGATATGCAAGAAATTAATTTAAAACCTATGTTTCCCAGTGAACCTGGGTTCCTGGTGCCGCAACTATCCCTGCGAAGCAGGGCTGGTCTGCCGAAGGCTTGGGCCAAAGGCCCCCATCCCTTTGTGACATGTAATTTTGGCCAAAGGCCGCTGGCAGCGAAGCTGCCAGGAGCCATTGGACTAGGATGAGGTTGCTACTCATGCAGTCATTCCATTTAATTTAGCCCAAAATATTAATTAGCCTCTCAAGCCAGCTTTTTGCAATTGACTTCATCATCAGAGGTTGCCACTCATCCGAATTCATCATGCAATGGCAAGAGTTGAGGTTTGTTAGGCTGCCATGCCAGTAAATACATTAGGTCACCGATGCTGATTTGTGCCGTCAAATCAGTTCAATCGATGGGGGGACATTCCACCAAATGGAACTGAAGGGCTTCTTTTATACCTGTTGAAGTCCACCTAGGCATTCTTCCTGGTGTGTCGCAACCAGTCTGCTCACAAGTTCTCGCAATCCCTGTCTGATTTCCCCAGCCCACCAGGCAGGATAACCAATGTCGTGCTGTACCCTATGCTCATCTCGCTCCGATGCTACTGATCATCCGCATCAACATGGCAACAAGGAGGTCCCACCTCATCAATTCTGGAAACCCGATCGATGTCAGATTTCTCGCATTTATGATCAGCAAATCAAGATCATTTGATCTACCCATTCCACCGCTGGTGCAGGATGACACACATCCCCCTGATAAATTCATCTCAGTCGATGACAACACACGGCCGTCCTTAGTCTCCTCCACAACCACGATCTGGAGTTGCTCACAACAATCAATGTTGTCAACCTTGACATTCTCAGGCAGTACCAACAGACCAACAATAGGTAATTCATGGCAAGTAGCATCTCACTCATTTGAATCTCATGTTATCATTTGGGAATAAATCTCCTTGCAAGATGAGCTCACTGCACTGGTAGCATGTCGTGATGCTTTCATTATGTGTACAAAAATCATTGCCTACAGAACAACAACAAAAAAACTTCACCTTGGGAGAATTCCCAATTCTATCAATGGCTATTGTCAACAGGCAACAGCAAACATCAGCAAGAATTTTCTGCTGCAGTGTCATTAAAAAAGATGAATGTCGACAGGCAAACACATGAGTACGCACTCAATTTTTCAACGCATCCAAAGTCCAACTAATGCTCACGGCATCCCATCTATAAATACAGAATTATGCACATGCCAAAATCAAATGCATGTATCACAAATATCATGACAATAATTTGAATCAGCAGTAAGGTATTTCTTGCTTTCATTCTCAGTGTGTTCATAAAATGCAAAGGAAGAATTGTAACAGCACTGTAAGTGCTTCTATTATCATTTTTAAAAGTAACCATATTCTTGAGTTACCCGCGGCGCCCACGCCGCGGTTTTTCACTAGTGTAGAAGGGTACGATGACAGTGGCTCCAGGCCAGGGCTAATGCAGTGGAAAGCAAGAAATAAATTTGGGGGTATGAATGGGCAGCTGCAAAAAATTTCCGGTCTGATGGCCATCAACCTGTATATGTATTAAATCATCCTCCTTGAGGGAAGTAGACTTCAGCAAATTCAAGTCCCGCTTTGCCCAGGGATTGTGTGTCACCGCCAAAAGACTGCAAAGGGACCTGCCAAGGATATTCGAAGTGCTCATCATCATTTCCCAGGATGGTCAATTTGGGGATAGTATGTGATAGCTTATTTTGGTGTTCCTGGTAATTGTGGAAAGGTGGGGAGAATCCCCCTTTTCAGGTTTACTCGCGTGCTGTTTCAAATACCGCTTGGATACTGGCCTCGAATAATCCTGGAGTGGTGGTGATTTTCCATGGACGACTTGAGGAAGAAAGACAGCAACTTGATCGAGTCAAATGGATGACCGTGATAGTGTCTTTGTTTTTTCAAATCTCGCACAGTTTGAAGCGCAATCCGCTCATCTTTGAAATTCACAGTGAATCCATCAGTGTTGTCATCAAGCATCCCGAGTCAAGACCACAGACTTGGCACACCGTATAATTTGGTATAAGACGAGATCCCATTGCCCAGTCAGGTCTGCCCTCACTCATTCCATCCTCTGCTCACCTCATACGACTCACACATCCATTCATTTGCATTCAACGCGTATTCAACCAAATTCACAACCACTCGACCCCCAGACGAACATGATGCACTGCTCCATCTACCTCGCTTTGATCTTTGCTGCTGGTATGTTCCTCCAAAATTTTGCGTGCTTGATTGATACAAATTTCATTCGAGCCCAAAGAGTTTTCCTTTGGCTGACGGTTTTTTGGGTTTTTTTGATGGTGGACTTTTCAAGTTGCACTCGCTGCACCCTTCGAGTCCAGCATGTATGTGAACAAGTGCCTAGTTTGATAAAAAAGCACAAACTGACTGTTTGGTTCCTCCCTTCAGATCACCATCACAATATTCCGGCGAGGGAAGCGGCATAGGTGGCAGAAAGTTCGACGCCGCCCGCTCAGGTCGCCCCGGTATGAGGCAAAACATGATGGGAAACTCAGGATCCTTGTCAGTGTAAGAATGTGGAAACTTCAAGGAGTTAATTGCAGAGACATGTTAGTCTTGGTACTATGAACAGTTTATGATACAACAGAGCAACGAGTGAGGTCACTCATACCTTCAAGGGCAGGAGTGCAGGGCAGAGGCAAGGAAAGTTATGTGACAATGAAATATGTATGAGAAAACAAGGGAACTATCGTTCCAGACGATGTAAGAAAGGATATAAGTGACAAGAAAGCGTTTATGAGAGGTGAGAGGAGTAAGATGAGGAGCTGCGGTACGAGGTCTTCGCAGAGAAGGTGAACGGGTTGATAGATGGGTTGGGTTGTTTGGGTTGTTTGGGTAAAGGAGGTTTTGATCTGATGGGTAAGATAGCTTTATTGAGCGATTGGGAGCAGATGGGGAAAAGAGTCAGTCGACTGTCGATAGATGATCCTTTTAAGGACATCTAGATCATGTATCTTCTCTAAAACGGTTGTAGTACTCACGTTCGGTTTCCCTGAGGCATCACAACCGTCGCTCAGATGAGCGGTACTGTGGTATCTGATTCCAGGCCAGTGGCGCTTAGGACTGGTCCTGTTTCTTCGTTGACTGGGTTAACGGTAACAGCAGGGTTTTGTGTTAGTTTTGTGTGTCACGTAGCTGGTTTGAAGCACAGCTCGGTTTGGTCCTGAAGAGGCACTTACTTTCGCTCAAGCCATCAAGGAACTGGCTGGCGGCGTCGATATGGGCCGTTCCGGTTGTGGCTAGATTCTGACAGTCAGTCATCACATTCCACAACGCGTACACAAGTGAAGAGGAATATGCCCTGACTTCTTTTTTTTTTTTTTTTGGGGGGGGGGGCTTCCAGGGGTGGCCAAAAATCAGGCAGCTCCTTCGGTGGAGGCAGTACCGGCAGTCCGAGCTGTTACATGGGAGGATGTTAGAGAAGCCGTCATTTGCACATTCTGTAGACATCCAGGCCCTCTATTATTTGTGCTTTGTGTCTACAGTTAAGCGGCTATCATCATTTAGTTTATTCTGTTCTGCCTTATGACACTGGGGTTTTCATTTTATTCCCATCTGATTTCTATCACACACTCAGTCTTTCAGCTTCCCCCAGAAATAAATAAACACCTAAAAAATGATTACTCCGCCTTATGCTAGTTTCGTTTTTTCTGTTTGGTTGTTGATACATAGACGATTGTGTTGTATCAGTCTTGGCCCTTTGTTTTGTCTTTGAGGTTGTAGTAATTACATTCGTTTCACTTGTTTAGAGCTCACAGAAATCGCAGCAGGTGTTTTCGCCATCTGTCGAATGATTGATTGTGGCAATCTGCCTAATCTTGACCAGCAACTTCCCGTAGAACTTTCAAGATTGTGTACCGGGAGCTTTGCCCCGGCGAGCTGCGACCATGACACCCAAAGGTGGCTTTGATGAGCGGCCTCCGGCGCTGGCGCGCAATTGTTCAAATGTGGTGTCCGCTCTGGACAATTGGTTAGTTTGCTTCTGCAGCTCTAAGCAACATGCAAAGGATCTTGCCATTCAGCTGGTCGGCTGCAATGAATCCTGGCGGGGGCTCTCAGACTGGTTGTGTCTTTCTTCCCTTCCTTCATCAACCCCTTTTTTATCTCATTTATTATTTTGATAAATCTATATATCCTTCATTTATATGATCATGCAAAGCAGATTGATTGATGTGGATCAAAATCTTACCCTGCTAGATTCAGTCGGGTACAAACACTAGCCGAGTGAATGAGAACTTAGAAGGCCGATGAGTGTTGGCTCAATTGCGGCAGTCCTGCCGGGAGAGCTGGTTCCCCATCTGTACCCCTTCCGATGAAGGCGATGACGATGGCCCGGTCACGCCCGTCAGCATGTCAGCCGATCCTCGTTTTCGTTCGAGAAGCTCCCTCAAGCGCCGTCACCTGATGATGGTGACGGCGCTTGATCCTGATCATCCTATGGTAAGAGCGCATGTTGGTTGCGACTTTTTCAGGAACGATTACAACACAACGCAGTCGAGTGGATGACCGCAATCGTGTATTTCAGATCTTAGATGCATAGATGTGCTTCACTCATCTTTGAAATTTATTGTGAATTGTTGCTTCTTGAATCATCAAGGCATTGCGAATCAAAACCACAGACTTATCCACTGTAGAATTTGGTATAAAAGAAGGTCCCATTGCCCAGTTTGTGCCCGGCTTTCCATGCCACTCTCACTACCAGGTTATTCGACTCGCGCACACCCCTTTTCTATTTAACGGGTATCCAGCCAATCCCACGACCATTCAACCCCAGACAAGCACGATGCACTGCTCCATTTACCTCGCTTTTATCTTTGCTGCTGGTAGGTTCCTTCAAACTTTCCCGTTCTTAAAGGATACCAACTGCATTGCAGCCCAAAACAGCATTTGTATCTCTAAAATTGATTTTGTCTTATCTTTGGTGCTTTTAAGTTACACTCGCTGCACCCCTAGACAGCGTGTAAGTAGTCAAGAGTCTAATCTGATCTTAAAGGTACACAAACTAAGCTTTTCCCCCTTCAGAAAATCACCATACCTCCCAATGAACAGAGGGAAAGGGAGAGGTTACAGTGCGGCTCGTTCCCTGCCCAAAGATCTTGGATCTGAGTCAGCAATAGTTTCGTACATTCAACACAAAAAAAACAAGCTGACCTTTTATAACGCAGGGTTCATAAACGTGAGTTAATGGGATTAGGCGGAAAGCTGTTGGACGTAGCTGCACCTACCTCAGGGATTGGCAAGCACGGTTTAGGTGGCGAAAGGCTTGGCGTCACTGGCTTAGGGGATGGAATGACAAGTACCCCCGGTTTAAGAAAGAACATGGTTCAAACCCCAGGATCCTTGTCAGTCATTCATTGAATTCTGAAACCCGTACAATCAAAGAGGGATGTACACTGATGTTGGTTTGTTTTTGGCTTCCAGGGGTGACAGAAAAACCGACAGCTCTTTATACGGTGGCAATTCCGGAGACGACAACTGCTGCATGGTTTAGAAGCCTTCGAGTACATTCATAGATTTCCAAGACCTCTGTCCTTCGTACTTTGTTGCTTTCTTCAAGAGGGTCCCATCGTCTGGTATCTTTCATTATGCCAATGCCATTAGGGCATACATTTCACTCCCACCTGATTTTCATTGCACACTCAGTCTTCCAGATTTCCTGAAAATAAAAACAAAAAAAAGATTCCCTCCCTTTTTGCTTGTTTTTTAAATGATTTCCGATCATGTTGTATCAGTCTTTGTCCTAATTTGGGTTGTCATTACATTCATTTCCTTTATTTACAGTGGACAGAAATTGCATCAAGTATTCTCATCATCTGTTGACTCGTCCATTGCGGTACTTGGCCTAACCTTGCCCCGCCCAAATCAACCTTTGCCGCCGATACGAATGACTAGATCAAAGGCGTCTGAGTTGAAAAAGGTTTAACCCATCAGCACATGCGCTATCATCTTTCACCTGACATGGAATGTCGCTTTCTTGCGTGGTCGTATTCTGACTGCTTCTTGGTATCTTGGCCAATGAAAAATCCAGTTTGAAATTTTCACTCACTCCAGCTATCATTTCCTTTTTTTGATAAATCTACACATTCTTCATCTATACAGATAGGAAGTAGATTGAATACGGAAGATGACCCTGCCAGATTCAGTCGGAACACTAGCTTAGTGAAGGAAAGGCTGATGAACGCTGGCTCCGCAAGATTGAACCGCGAGAGTTCTGGCCGGTTCTGCTTCTGCACTCCTCCCAATGAGATGGTTCGATCGCCGCCGTTGTCATGTCCAATTATCGTTTTTGTTCGACAAGCTACCTCAAAAGCCGTCCTGAATCCAGATCATCCAACACTTAGTTGGGCGGATGTTGATTGACGCATTGCAACTTCATGAAGAACAACAGCAACACAACCCATTCGAGTGGATGACCTCAATGATGTCATTGTTTTTGAGATCTTGGTTAGACGCAATCCGCTCATCTTTGAAATTCATAATGAATTCATTGGTGTTGCTGCTTGGATCATCATCCTCAGTCAAGACCACAGATTTGGTACACTGTGGAATTTGGTTTAAAAAGAGGTCCTGTTGGCAACTTGGCCACATGGTTCGCATTCCGTCAATCATGCCATTCGAATCTACTTTTGTATTCAATCAAACTCAGCAAATCTCACAAGCACACAACCCCAGACGAGCACAATGCATTGCTCCCTCTACCTTGTTTTTATCTTAGCTACTGGTATGTTTCTCCAAACAGCTTCGCGCTTGATGGATGTCAACTTCATTCTAGCCCAAAAGAATGTTTGAGTAGCTAAGAATTGTTTTTCCCCTTCTCATTGGTGGGCTTTTGAAGTCGCACTCGCTAAACCTCAAAATGAAGGGTAGGTAATCCACTGTCTCATTTGATATCAAAAGAGCCATCTGACTTTTTGAAACGCAGGGTTCAAAAGCGTGAAGTAGCCGGAAACTCTGTGGACGGATCCAACCCTCCCTCAGCGATCTTTGCAAAGAAATCTTCTGGTTTAGAATCATGGAATAAGATATTAGACGCTCCGGGAGCTCTGTCAGTAATCAAACCTTGAACTCATACAACCAAAGGCAAATGTGCGCTTATCTTTTATTTTTTTGTTGCTTCAGGGGTCAAAGCAAGTGGGATGACGGTGGCAGTCCTGCAAGCAATCCTCACAAATGAGGCGGTCGTGGAAGTGGAAGCGGGTGCGGTGAGTGAGGTCCCTTCAGAATTCGCCAACCATGTCACATTCATCTGAGACTTCCATCCTTCGTGTCTCATCTTCTTGCCTCATGGCTTTCTTCAAGCGGAACCCATCATGTAATTTTTTTCTGTCTATAGCCAGTAGCGCCTACATTTTACCTTCATCTGAACATAACTCAGCACCCGGCATTCCAGGTCTCATACAAAAAAAAACAAGAAAGCTGTCTTTTCTATGAGCACCCATTCTGTTTTGCCAATACTTGTGTTGTACTTTGCGAGTTCTTTCTGGTTGTGAATGAATTCGCTTCCTTTTTTCAGAGTTGAAAGAAATTTCAGCACAAGTCATCACTATCTGCTTAAGCATGAATTTTGATTGTTATATTTTGGCACGCTTCTTATTGTACCTCGACCCACTCAAATCAATTTTCGTCGTGGGCATAAAAATCCGGATTGGCGGCATCTGAGTTCTATTTTTTTTTTTTCAAACAAGCAGAATCTGTGCTACTTCTACTAGTTTTCATCTGGCATTCCATGCCGCTTTCTTGGGTTTTCTTTTGGCTGCTAGCATATTTGCTTCTTGGCCGATGACAAATCCATTTTAATTCGTTCAGCGTAATACCGCATCATTGAGGATGATTCCAGTCTACATATTCATCCTCATCCATCACATTCTTAAATTTTCAGCCAATGGGAGACAAGCCATCGATCGACATCGAATGGACTTCAGGACAGGAACACATCAGCCGAAGGCGCACATCTGTGTTGGCTTTGATTGGCGCCAATCATGTAGGACACCAGATTCATGACTGGAGACTTGGTCACCCGAGCATACGAGATGGTGCCCATGTATTTTTCCCTATCAACATGGCCTTCTAGGCATCGGGGAAGAAAGCAGCTGGCCAATCTTCACGACGATTGGTTTGTTTTGACAACTTCAACCAATACTTGGAGATTCTTTTTGCGTGGTTGTTGGGCTGACTCTTTGCCCATTGGAATACTCTTCTTTCATCAAAACTTTTGATTACTGCGTGTTTTTTGGGTTTTTTTCCCTTCTTTCACTGAATTATTTTCTATCTCTTCTTTTTCCAATAAAAATCGAAGACTCTTCATTCACATAGAACATACAAAGCAGTTTGATTTGAATTAAACTCATGCCCTGCCAGATTCATTCGAGTACAATTGCAGACACTAGCTGATGTAGTCAATGGAAAGGCCGAAGACTGTTGGCTCCGCAAGAGTAACCTGCGAGTGTCCTGCGGGAGAGCTGGCTCCCCATCTGTACCACTCGCGATGACGGTGGGCCGGCCGCACCCGTCAACACATCACCCAATCCTTGTCTTTGCTCAGACACACTTCCTCGCATGCGGACATCTGATCATCCGAATGAAGGAACCGAGAATTGGATCGTTCCGCATGATCAACGGCCTGTGCAATACTTCACCGAACGGATGTTGATTACGAATTCGGAAGTAAGATGGTAACATGGCGCAGTGGAACATTGGACGACTGTAACAAGTGGGTGGTTACCTCATCTCCAGTTTTTTGTTCGACGCTATCCGCCCATCTTTGGGATTCATGATGAATCCATTGGTATTGCTGCTTGAATCATTAAACATCCAGAGTCAAAGTCGCAGAGCCGATGTGCTGACCGGATTTCTATAAAACGAGGCTCCATTGCCCGTGTTTGCGGACCACTCAATCCCTCACTCCAACCATTCGACTGACCTATCCATTCATTTGTACACATTTGTGTAAAACCCGTATCAACTGAAATCAAACGCGATTACTTAACCTTAGGCAAACACGATGCACTGCTCAGTTTTACTCGTCGTTCTCTTGGCTGCTGGTACGCTGCACAGAACTTTTCTCATTCGGATTAGTGTCGAAAACACTTCAGACAAAAAGAAAAATCTCTCTCTAACTAGAATCTCTTGTATTGTCTTTTTCTTTCTTTCGTGGCGTTTCAGTCACAATCGCCAGACCCGACGGCGATGGGTAAGTCATCGAGCATCTGACATGCGCCAAAGCATATTAACTGATCCTTCTCTCTCTTCAGACTTCAAAGATTTAACCAGGATGTGAGAGTGGGCCATGGTGCAGGACGAGGCCGCGGACGACGTGCGTTAATTCCCTTGGACATCGGTTCTGAGTCAGTAGTCAAGTTTCGTAGCGCACATCACAAGATGAACGCAAGCTGACTTTTCTGCAAAAACAGCGTTCAAAAAAGCAATGAAGGAACCCCATTAGGGTCACTCGCTTCAAGTCTAATGAGCTCAGGCGACTCTGTGAAACCTGATTTCGAAGAGGCTGCCAGTGAGCAGTACCGTCCCAGTGCAAGACCGATGCATCTTTCGTCAGTGATTAAATTCTACAATACACACAGAGCAAAAGCAGAGCGAGCTGAATTTTTTTGGCTTATAGGGGTCAACCCGAAGCCGACTCGAGGTCTGCCATAGGTGACATGGGTGGCATGATAGGAAAGCGTGACGGCATATTCCCTTCATTCGCATCAGATGGAAACAGAAACAAGATGGGCCTAGACAGCTTGGAAGGAATAACCGGCTTAGGTGATCAGTTGATGGGCTTAGGCGGTTCTCGAGCGCTGAATGGCTTGGGTGACAGCGCGATGAGCCAAGGTAGGCCCCGAGGAACGGATGGTTATGAGGATAGCATGGCGGCGAATGACCCGTCAGTAGTTAAATATCATAACCTCGAAAAACAGACGCGCAAAGGAAGTTGACTTGCTTGTGCCCGGGCACAGCTCGCCTCGAAAAAGCAGCCTCGCGAAATATGGAAGCCACTCAGGAATCCCCGACAGCTCAAATGACGACTCAGGTTATGGCTCAGGCGAGGGTCAAGGTTCAGGACTTTAAGCCGAAGATTCCGCCACGAGCTTGGCTTCGTCCTTTGCCGCTCTTATCATTGCTAGTGCGGATTCAATCGTCTGGACTCAACTTGCATCTATTCTTCCATCAATGTTTGCATTTTCTTATCACGAAATTTTTACGTCTTGATAACCAGCGTTCCAAGTCCTACACGAAAAATCCAAAAAAAAGACATTTTCGCTCCGTTCAGTCGTCGCCCATGACTTTGTTGTATCCATTCAATCATCTGCCATGTTTTCGTGAGACCTTATAGATTGTAATTACATTCGTTCATTTGTTTTTTTGTCGGAATTGATAAGAATTTCGGCACCAACGATCATTCATCATCATCCACCTATTTCTCACAGTGAATGAGATTCTGTGATTCATGGAACAATCTTCAGCCCATTGGGGGAGGTCCAATAGAGCAGTAGAGGGTGCTGAGCTTGTTTGCCTCACCGCGACTGGTGTCCCACTACATCGTTTGCTTCTGGCAAGACACCCAATGCCGCTTTCTAATCAGGCGGTCGAGCTGAAGACCATCCCGACCTTCATTGCTTCTCGACCGGTGCAAAATCACCTTCAGCATATGTCAAGCGAGATTGTTACATTTGAAAACAACCGTCCAATCCTTCATGTAGTTTTTGGTTTGAACGCTCTGCACAATGTCCAACAACGATTCTGCCAAATCCTGAGGGATTCCCAAACCGATGAATACTAGAGGGTGTTTTACGCTTCTCGTACAATGAATCCCATCAACTTGGGGTAGATTCCCTCTGTGTATGCATCCAAGCGGATGGATGTTGGCTCCGCAAGATTGCAAGATTGACTGCCGAGAGTTCTGCCGGGAGAGCTGGTTCTCAATCTGTACATACCCCTGCCGATGACGACGGTCCGGTCGCGCCCGTCAACCTATCACCCAATCCTGGTTGTGGCTCAGACCAGCTTCCTCAGATGCCGTCATCTGATCATCCAAAAGTAGGAAAGGACGTTGATTGCGAATTCGGGAGGAACGATAGCAACATGACGCCGTTGAACATTGGATGAGCGTTATGGGCGGTTGCATCATTTTTAAATTTTTGTCAGATGCAATCCGCTCATCTTTGGGATTCATGATGATGAATTCATTGGTGCTCTAGTGTTACCTGAACCATCAGTTATCCAGAGGCCAGAGACAAGATCGTAGACTTGGAGTGCTGACCAGGATTCCACAAAAGGAGGTCCTATTGCCCGTCCTTCGTTGTTCCCCATTCCATCCTTCACTCGACTATCCGACTGACCAATTCATTCCTTAGTATATATTTGTGTATATAACCCGTGTCAAACTCAACCAATCTCACGACTACTCAACCTCAGACAAACACGATGCACTACTCATGCTTACTCGCCCTTGTCTTAGCTGCTGGTATGTTACACTGAAGCCTTCCATTTCGGACCGCTGCCGAATTCACCTTAGCCGAAAGAATTATCTTTTTCTGACTGCAATGGCTATACTTTCCCCTCTTCCTTTTGCTCTTGGACCTTAGTTGCACTCGCCAGGCCCCATCCAGATGGGTAAGTATCGAGTTCTTAACTTTTGGTAAAAGAGCGCAAGCTAACACACTGTTCCTCCTTCAGACCAGAGGCACTTTACCGACAAACTAAAGTGCCTGGTGGCAGAGCAAGAGGCAATGGACGACGTTCGTTCCTCCCCATGGACTTCGCAACAAAGCCTAACGGAAGATTCGGCTCCGACTCATTAGATGGAGATTACCCGAAATCCGGTGATTATTCCAAACCGAGAGGCACTGAAGGGTATGGAGCACCCACCGATGGAATTCGTTTGTCAGTGATCACCCTCTACAACGTGCTATCAGTAAAATGTGTGTGGGCTGACTTTGTTAGCATACAGGCACTCGAGCCCAGACTACTCTGCCTCCAGATATCCCTCAGAGCAATCAGGCGATCGTTTAGCGGGAGTCGATGACTCTTTTGCGCAGGACGGCCGAGGAATGCCTACGACTGGCGTCCAAGGTCTTGGAGATGATGAGTCAGTGATCAGATTCCAAATTCTCACGCAGCACAAGCACCAGAGGCTGAGTCTCTTAGAATCACAGGCGAAAAACCGGAAGCTACCCAAGCACAAGGGACAGTCTCCCCACTGACCACGACAACTACAAACGTGATGGGGGAAGTTCCTTCATGGGATTAGACAGCTTGATGAGCTTGGGTGATTCTTTTGCACAGAAAGGCAAAAGTGCACTTGGTGGCTTCCCAGGCCTCGCAGATGAGTCAGTTATCTGTTTCCATAACCACCCCCAACATTCGCAATGGAGGCTCATTCTCTTTTCATTGCATTCAGCGAAAGAACCGAAAGCTACCCAAGATCCAGGGACAGCTTCTCCATGGATCACGACAACTACAAGCGTGATGGAGGAAACTCCATCATGGGATTGGGAGACAGTCTAATGAGCTTGGGTGATTCTGTTGCACAGAAAGGCAGAAGTGCACTTGGAGGCTTCCCAGGCCTCACAGATGAGTCAGTTATCCGTTTCCATAATCGCCCCCAACACCCGCAATGGAGGCTCATTCTCTTTTTATTGCATGCAGCGAGAGATCCGAAAGCTACCCAAGGTCCAGGGACAGTTTCCCCATGGACCACGACAACTACAAGCGTGATGGAGGAAACTCCTTCATGGGATTAGATAGCTTGATGAGCTTGGGTGATTCTTTTGCACAGAATGGCAAAAGTGCACTTGGTGGCTTCCCAGGCCTCGCCGATGAGTTAGTGATCAGTTTCGACAGCCACATCAGACACACGCAACAGATATTAATTAATTTTTTTTTTGAATACAGCGAGAAAACCGAGTCTTACCCAAGTTCGAGGAGCAGTTCCATGGGCCGCGATTACAACAAACGTGACGGAGGAGATTCTATCACGGGATTAGGCGACAGCTTGATGAACTTGGGCCAATCGCTTGCCCAGAACGCTAGGGATTCACTTGGGTCTGGCCGTCTTACAGATGGGTCAGTAATCTAATTCCGCAACCGCATGCAACGCGCTCAGTGGAGGCTAATTTTCTTTCTTGGACACAGGCAAGAAACGGAAGATTACCCAAGTCAGAAGGACAGCTACATGGGCCCCACTTACCAGAAGCGTGACTTCCTCTTTGGAGGAATGGGTGAAGACAAGATGGGCTTAGATGGCATCAAAGGACTGAGCGGCTTAGGTGGCAACCTCATGGGCTCAGGTGATTCACGAAGACCGAATCGATTAGGCGCTGAAATGGGAGGGCCCCATGCCGCCCAAGGCGGGGACCCTGAAGATGATCGCATGACCGGCTCTGAGCGCCGAGGTGGCAGGCTCGGAAATGGGTAAGTTGTTCAAAACTCCATCACCTGATGTACCACCCGGGCAATGGAAGTTGACTTGCTTCTGCACCCATTTTCTTCAACTCGATAGCATCGCGAAGTCTGACAACGACTCTTACGGGGGTGCAGACCCTGAAAGCCCAGGCACTACAGGCAGGTAAAGCATCCGATAATCACGTGGCGAAGGTCCAGCTTCGCACTTGATCGCTTTTATCATCAGTTCTTCAGATTTCATCGCGTGGATTCTTTCGTTTTTCCCTATCACCATCCGTGTATCCTTTCCAGACTTTATACGATTTTTTAGAGAAAACCCTCGTTTTCGTTCCCTCAAGTCATCACCTGTTTTGCAGCGTTCATTTTAATCATCTGTTCTATCTTCGTGAAATTCGTCAGGTTGTAATTACGTTCATTTAATTTTTGTTCTAGTTCATATACATCATAGTAATACTCATCATCATCATCATCATCCATCCATCATTGTCGAGTGAATCTCCGCGAGTGCGAGTTTTGAAGCTCCGTCAGCCCAAAGAAATTGACCATCGCGCTGGTCCTAAAAGCCAGAGTGATGACCACTGAGTTTGACATCTTATCACCACCGGGTACCTAATAGTTTGCCACTCAATTACGCCTTCTTGGGTGGCTGGCCCGAACTTTGTCTTCTTTGCCAATTGGAAGTCCAATTCTGTCGTCCAATCAGCTTCAAGCGATTTTTATATTTCAATTTAAACCAGACATGGCATCTCTGAGCTTACAAGTTGCAGATTGGACAACAAAGAGTATCAATATTCATTCCGATGACTTACTCCTAATCTGACCGAAAAATCCCTGCTAAGTTTTGTGCTGTTGGCACAAGCAAATAGAATGGCTACACACAATGTATGTTTCCCAATGCTTTCCCCGAAGCTGGGCTTTTGACTGGTTGTGTCTTTGGTGCGACACCCGATGAGGTTGTGTTCCGGCGCCCGCCCGGAGACCCCCCTGCCTGCGCACCCGCAACTTGGAGCCCCCTAGATCAGAGCTCCCTCCAACCCTTCCACCACTTCACCCAGTCATCTCCTTGTTTCCAAGAATCCCCCCACACTCGAACGCTCGATCGAATCGGCTGACCATCTCGAAACACACTCAAGGCTACTTGGACATTTAAAGGAAATCAGATCGATCTTCTACTCGGATAACTTGCTGAGATGCGTTACTATCGGCCTAGGTAAACCCATCCCTATCCTAAACCATTTTGAACGGTCACAGACAATAGCTGATGTTTTTCAACAATTTACCCCGGCTGTATAGGTTCCCGGAACCGGATGAACTGGTGATGGTTCAGGTCAAACAAATCCAAGAGATGGGCGCTTATGTTAAATTGGTGTGTGTGTGATCAAACGAAGAAGACAGTGTCAAATCTTTCAAGCCGACAATTTCAATCGGACTTACTCGTAATTGTTACGTTTTTGGTCTTTATTTAGCTCGAGTATGATAACATCGAAGGAATGATCCTCTTGTCCGAATTGTCCCGTCGACGTATCCGTTCGATTCAGAAGTTAATTCGAGTGGGCAGGAACGAAGTAGTGGTGGTTATGAGGGTTGACAAGGAAAAAGGTATTTCCTAATCTGTTCTTGCATAATGTTACAAATATTTACCACGAATTGTCTTTGACAATCGATCTAATCGGCCGCTATCACTTTGTTCAAAACTTGGCAAATTTTAGGTTATATCGATCTATCAAAACGGCGTGTATCTGCTGAAGATGTTGTAAAATGTGAAGAACGGTATAACAAATCAAAGACGTACATGAGATCTTCCTATTTAGATTATCTTGAATAGCTAGAGTTTGATTTTAACTTCGATTTGTTTGATAAATTGGGTTGCGTTTCCAGTGTATCTTCGATCGTTCGACATGTTTCCGAGAAGACCGAATTGGATATGGAGACGATCAACGAAATGGTAGCCTGGCCACTATTTGAGAAGTACGGACATGCATTTGATGCCTTCAAGCTGAGTATAACGTGAGCCATAATTTGACCACTCCTTCCACGATCCATTCAACGCTCAATTGTCAATTGGAAAAGACTGATTTTCAAGGATTTGATTTTTCTGGGCGAGGCATCTAGGGAGCCGGATACAGTGTTTGGAGATTTGAACATACCCGAGAACGTGATGACTCATCTGACTAGCAACATTGCCCGACGATTGACCCCTCAGCCTGTCAAGGTTCGAGCAGATATCGAGGCAACTTGTTTTGCATACTCGGGCATTGATGCGATCCGAACCGCGCTGAAATTGGGAGAATCAATTGGAACGGAATCCGTGCCGATCAAAATCAGATTGGTTGCGCCTCCGTTGTACGTGATGGTCAGTAATGCTACCGACAAACAAGGGGCCATCGAACTGCTCGAAACTGCTATTGAAAGGATCGGTGAAAGTCTCAAGAAGGATGGCGGTCAGCTTGTTGTCAAGATGAAGGTTAGTCCCTCTCTTTCTAGCTGGTATCTTCTCCTAAATCTATTAACTCGTTGGTCTTGCGTTTTTAGCCCAAAGCTGTCTCCGAGACAGATGACCTGGAATTGGCTGCGCTGATGGAGCGGGTTGCAAGAGAGAACAAGGAGGTATCAGGAGATGAAGATAGCGATGCTGATTAAATTCCATCCGCAAAGAAAAACTAAAATTGGTCGATAAAATGATCAGCTATGATATAGGATTAAAAGTTGTAAACACACATTCATTCAAGTAGCGGAAAAAAACCTCCACCGACCATTATAGCGGGAAAAAAAAACGACCGACCACCATACATTTGCCAGATATCCATTTTTTTCCTTGTTTCCTTCCTCCCAAATGAGCATGTTCTAATGTCTTGCTAATCATTACATTGCTTGTCTCTAGAAGATAAGAATTAAGTTATTTCGGTTGGTTTCCGTCATATCTTGCCCCTCTTATTCAACGATCAAAGTGCGGTTTCTCTTGACAGCTTGCTTGCTCAGGTCTTCATTAGATGGGTTCAAAAATGGCTGCAGACTACACAGGCTTGACGTAAGATGACATAGCAGCTTAAAGTTCCGAATGGGTGTAGATGATTGGAGAGAGTGTGTGGGTGGAGAGAACTTTGGTAACTGCAGAACATATGGTTTGCTAAGCTGGGCATGACTGGTTTTGTCATGTGTGGCTACTAATTGGCTTGGGAATGATTCAACAAGGAGACTTAGGCAACTCGACTACAGCACATAATAGAACATAGTAGCTCAGTGAGTGAAGAAGGCCAATTAGAATGCATGTGATTTAAGGATCATGGAGGCCGTAGATCAGAAACAAGTTTACTTTTAGAGGGTTTGGATCCAATCTGATAGTGGCAGGTTCAATGGATGGTTGAATACTGAGACCTAGCTTTTATGTGTGTGCTGGGCTGACATAGAGAAAGAAGTGGAAGAGTAAGGTTTTACAATCTGGCCCTAATTAGGGGGGGCAAGGCTCCCAGAATAAGACGACTCTTGAAGCAGTCTGACTGAGACTTTCAATGGGATATTTTTCTGGGCATCCTAAGATGTGCAAGGTCTTTTGTGTGCAACCAGAGCCGGTCCACTGTGAGGGAAAATGCTTACATAACACTTGGGCTGGGAAGGTCTTCACTCTCCAGTCTCCAGGCTCTTGTGTTCTGATGTAGTACCATCACATGCTATACAGACCTATTTGGTGAGTCTAACCCATACCAATAGTAAAACACGCACTTTTGTGTGTGGTTTGCTAGGAGTATGGGTTGGACTCCTGCCACTTTGCTCTTAGTGCATTTGTAGGGATAGGCTCTTGTGACAAATCAAGATGTCTGGAGGCTCGAGCCTAACTAGGCCTCCACGGCGGGAGCGGGAGCGAGCAGCGGAGCTGTCCACGCCAGTGGAGGCCTAGAACAGATGCGGTGATCCCCGCGTGGTGAGTTTTCAAAATTGGGCTTGAAACCCGTTTTTTTGTGTATTTTTCTGACTACACTCTTCTTCATCCACATTTATATAATTTCCTTGTGGACCAAGAAGGGTCTGCTTCTTGTCCACATTTCCCTGTGTTCAGTTTTTTGTTTTTTTTTTCTTAATCATTACAGAAAGCTTTTGAAAACATTGACTTTTCAACTCAGGTTGGCTTCTTTTGGTGGGCCCAAGTTGAGCAAACCCCGCATTTGAGCTCAAAAAAAGTTCAAACCTGAATTTTAGAAAATCAATCTTAATTCCAGTTGTGGTGTACAACTTCTGAGTTTGGGCTGGATCAATAGGATGATCTAGCCCTTCAAGAATTCCGGGCCAAACATCCATAAACATTTGAGGGAGCGTCATGATTGCAAATCTTGTGACGCTCCCACCAAAACAGGAGAAACTCAGCACCTGAGTTCGTCGACCTCTGGCCCAAGTCTCCCCTGCGGGGAGTTCCCTTCGGGAACCGCCTGGCCAGCGCTACGCTGCCAGATGCGCCCGCCGCAGCTGGAGACTTGTGATAAGTTCGCTGGAGGCTTGATCTGATGAGGCCTGCAAGACTCTAGACAACAGGGGTTGCTTCTTTCTTGCTAGTCATTGCCTAAGGAGGCACTGGACTGCAAAAGCCCATACCCAGGAATGTCTTGCTGTCAAATCTTTCATTTGTAGCTCTGTTCTTTGATTGGTTTGCTTTGCCTCCACGTCCCACGCTTCAGAACTTCCAACACAAAAACAAAGACAAAAACTTTGAAAATTGAATCCTTTGTTGTCTTCGAAATCTTTGAACTGGGGTTTAGCTCAAGGATCGAGTGTTTCTCACAGGGATGGTACTATCAACAGTTCTGGGAAAACTCAAGCATTTAAATAAGACAAAGTGAGATGCATGTGTTGTCAAGAATCCCAAAGTATGTACATACATATAATAATGAATGAGTGGCATTGAGTCTGAGACTGGCCCAAGAATCTCCACCGTACATTATCAATCAATGGGTGGGAATGAGTCTGGGACTTTGGAACTCCATTGTTGATCAAGAACAAAAATAAAGGCTTTCTTTTTTTTTGTAAGGGTTTTTTTTTGGTTTGGGGGGTTGGACAGATAAATATATGATTGAAGCAAGTACATAATGTTTAAGTTTTTTTTTGGGAAGAAAAGGAACAAATGGGGGGGGGGGGGGGGGCGCCAACCTGAAAAGGGAATCTGTTTTTGTTGAGGTTTTTTGGGGGGAAAGATACATATGTTTGGATGCCAATATTATTGGGCCAAAAAGAAAGAAAAAGAGAGAGAGAGAGAAGGAAGCCAAGAAAGAAGAAGTTGGAAAAGTGAGAGAAGAGAGAGAGAGAAAGAAAAGGGATCAACGCATGGCGATAGCCATCGATTTACTAGCCTTCATAGGGGCGGTGAGGGAGAGGATGGGGGGAAGAGTGGAGCGTCTCGGTCTGGGTCTACTCTGGGGCGTGGGCAGGGAGGATTCGGGGAGCACTGCAGACGTCTTGGCTTTATCCCGTTTGGGGGTCTCGAAGGCCGGCTGATTGCGGCGGCCTCTCGGACTCCCACTCCTCCGTCCTTCTTCTTCTTCTTCGCAGGCTTTCTGCTTCGGCTTCTCTGGACAGAGGTCTGGACTCGGCGGCGATGGGAATAGCAGTCGCGGGACGGCGCCGCTGAATGGCGAACCGCCCGTCTCGTTCAGATCTTCTCCACTGTCATATTGGATTCGTTTTCCTCGACTGGTTGAAATACAATCGGATTAGATTCTGTGTCTCTATATTTTTTTTCCTCCAAAAAAAAAAGAAGCATGGTACTCACAAAACATAGACCACTTTGCGATATTCGTCGTCACGTTTGGCGCCGGCACGACGCGGTTTTTCGCCGGGATGGACGAGGAAAGGGTTATTAGGAGAATCCCTGAGTGGGCGAATGTTAGGAGAAGAAGAAGAGGCGGCGGTGATGGGAGAAGCGGCGGAAGCCTTTGGGCGTTTAGGGAAGCGGCTTGATTTAGAGATGGTTGGACTAGAGGGGGAAGAAGAGCGGGAGGCGAAGGGATCTTGGAGTTGGACGACGCGCCGTTTTTTGGACCGAGTTTGGGAGAGGTGGTGGGGGGAGGATTGGATGGCAGCTTGGAGGGCCCGATGGGATGTATTCCGAGGAAGACTTGATGTGCTCGGTTGGACCGGGTCGCGCGGACCCATAACCTTGCTCCTCCGGGGAGAGACACGTCGTCGGCTAGGCTGTGGTGGTCTCGCTGGTGAGGCTTGGTGCAGGCCTTGATCGAGTATCAGCGCGTCTGAGGACGGGGGCGAGGGCGGTAGAGGGACTTGGGCCGCTAGCTGGGCCGTGCTTGGTTGGCCCGAGTCCTTCAGTCTTCGTGATGGTGAAGCTCGCGTCATTATACGAGACGATGTCATTTTCCTTCTTGTTGTTGAGTTGGTTGGTCTTGCGGGTTGATCTCGCTTGCAGATCGTGAATGGCGCCCCCGGATCTTCCAAAGAATAACGCGTAGAAATACAGGAGAAACAAGAAAAAGTGGAGTTGTAGATCAGAAGATTGGGATAGGTTGTAGGAGGATAAGAGAGAGAGAGAGAGAGAGAGCATTAGTTTGAATGGGTATGTGTAGATGTGGGTCAGGTGTGTGCAGAAAGGGGATGTTTGTTTGTTTGTTGGGAATGGGATGGAAGATGAGGTGGGCCGGGGACAATTGTTTCGGAGCTGATGTGTGGGAATTTATATATGAGCAAGATAAGCCAGGGGATATGCTCAAAGGGCCGAAGACAGCCAAAACTCAGGAATGGCTGAGAGAAGGCGGGGGTGGCTGAAAATGACCGACCGGACTGGCTTGGAAGTTGTGGAAAGCTTGGGCCGAAGCCAGCTGGAATGGTCCAACCCTGAAACTTTTGCATACATTCCTCAACAAAACCAGCCGAAACAACAACAAAAAAAAAAAGCTTCCTCATCATCATCATAAAGAAACTTGCTCAACGGCTCGATGTTGAGGCGGGATATTCATCAAAAAAGGAAAATTCTACGTCTTATAGTCTTCAGGGCGTTAGAGGGAAGCACGGGTGAAAATGCAACGGATCCTACTGCATACTTGAAGAGCCGAGTGCCACTAGCTGAGAGCGATGAGATTTCCTTAGTTCACCTGAAAGTTTTGTCAAGTGATACATATTTTTGAAAGGAAAGCGATTAAATATCGGATTATTTAGTTTCTCGATTGAGCCGAGTGTCTAATATTTATAGCAACCACCCTGCAGGGTCTTTCTTCTTCTCTGTCTCTCTGCACACCGATAACTAGATCTATTTACCGCGTCGGGAAGATTGCGCTTCGTCTCGCCCCCTCCCTATCTTTCTCACTCTGTCTCACTATTACATAGTCTCATTGGCGGAAGGATCTGCATACAACTGCACCGAGAATTATAGCCCGAGATCCCTCACTGTCATGCACAAATCCAGATCTGTTTGCTGCAATTTCAAGTATCATATTTCATTTGATTCTTCACAACCTACATCTAGCCATCCTTGGAGTGTGAGTCTCATGACCAATGATCTCACCATGTTAAGAGAGAGAGACAGAGAGGAAAATCGACCCAAGAATAACTCCCCTCTACTCTCATTGTGGTATGGATTGCCCCGGATGATGGGTTTTTATTCAAGTCCGGGGGCTAACAAATTCATGATTTGATGAGATGTCGCCAGTGATTAATATAAATAGATGGATGCTCTACCATGAAATTGTATGTAAATCCCCACCTCTTCCAAAATTCTCTCGGCCAGGCATCAGAAAAAAAAAACATCTTGAAGTCTCAGATCTCACTGTAGGACCTCCCGTCGCCCAGATGGCTTAGTTTGGAGGGACTGGCTATGTAGACTCTGTTTGCGGGTGAAATCTTGAGGTCGAATGATTCTAATTTTTCACCAGCATGAGCTTTATTAGCCCTTCCTTCTAGATTAACAAATTTAGACAATGGGGAAGTCATCCACTTATAAATAGCCAGGCCACCAAATGCCTATTATTCTAAACCCCTGGGAATTGGGTTGTAGGATTTGTTGGGGACAGACAACCTGGTCGGAAAGCGGGTCCAGTGTAGCTTACAAGGCACTTTTAGACATCGTATGTTTCCGTTTTTCTAAGCTCATGAGATTAAAATGTGCTGGAAAGGTATCACATAGATACACTTCCAGACACCCCTATTCAAATACTCTTTTTCGTGGGCTCATGTGTTTATTTCATTGATCTGGATTTTGGATTATAGGCATTGATACATGTACATGTCAATCTCATCAGGCGTTATCTTCAGAAAAAAAAAAGGAAAAACTAATCTAATCTAATTCAACAAGGCAGAAGATATGAAAACTAAAAAAAGCAATCTCTTTTTCGTTTATTCTTTTGTGTTCAAAAAAAGAAGGAGAGGGGAACAACTGAAACGGAGCACAAGATGATCGTGAGATTGAGTAGAAGAGCAGACAAACAGCAAGATAGAGACGAGGCAAGAAATCTTGCAAGTTCAAACAGGTGACACAAGGATATCGTCGGAGCTGATGGAGGCCGCAGGAGCGGGACAGATCAAGTCGCCATCGTTGGTGACCGAGGGGGTAAGGATACTGCAAGAGGAGACGACGGGAGGATCGTCCTGTGCGATAGAGGCCGTCGTATCATCATCAGTGGGAGAAGGAGCGCGTGTGGAACTGGCTGGAATAACAAGAGTCTCCATTGATTTGTTGGAGACCTCCGGGGCCGGGATGATCAGATGATCTTCGTGTTCTGATCTTTTCGCAGCGTCGGCTACTTCTCCATTCGTTAATGGAGTCGCTATTGCATCTGAGTCTATGTCTGTATTTTGAATTGGTTGGAAAACAAAGGCAGGGTCAGGTCGCTGTGCTTGTCAGGTCCCATCTAATGGATTTAAATGGAGTAAACTACTCAACTGATATGATCGGAAGCCGCGACACTCTCGACATCAGTATTCACAATCTCGTCATTCATCTCCACATCTTCACAAGATTGGACATTGTTTTGATTGTTGTTCAAGCTTTCGAGGTGGGCGAGATGCTGGGTGGTCCAAGCCTGAGATTTGAAGCGCTCGAGTTGGTCGAGCTGGGCCTCGACAGCCTTGATGAGCTGTTTGCGCCATCCCTTGATCTTGGGATTGCCTCTGGAGAGGATCGCATCGGCCTTGATTTGCAGTTGAGTGAGCCCTTCCTCAAAGGCTTGGACGGACCGATTGACGGGATGGCCGAAGGTCAACTTGGTCGACGAGGGCGTCGCATTGCTTGCGGATTGGTCCGGCGAGTCCACAAATTTCAGGTCCAGTAGCGCCGGGTAGACGAACTCGCTCTTGAGCTTGTCGAATGTCGACTCCAGCTCGGCCAGATGCTTCAACGATCGATGGGCCCTGAACTGTTGTTGAATCAGACGGGCAGCGGCATCCAGTTCTTCGGCTGAATGTTTGGGAGGAGGGGGCGGCGGCGGCGGTTGCGCTCGAACAGTCGGCGAGCTCCGTCGACCGGCTGGAGGAGGGGATGATAAAGAAGAACTACCGAGGACAGGCACTGATGGATCTTGGGTAGGATCGAGCACATAGAAATCGCTCCCTGGTCCGAGTCACTCCCGAGTACTTGGTCTTGTAGTTGCGGCGACGGCGTACGGTGTGGTCTGATCATCCCATTCGTCAAGATTCCTGGGTACTTCCTTTGCATCTTCCTTGCCCACGATATCGGCACAATACATTCTCTGCCGTCGGGAAGCGTCAGCTCCACTTTCATCTCTTCCTCCTCGGCTCGCTTGGGTTGTCCTACTCCTAGTTGTCTCATCTTCGCTTCTGCTAGTCTTCGGGCTCTTTCGGTACGTAAGGAATCCTGTTATTTTTGTGATTGTTATTTTTTGAAAAAAAAAAAACAAGCTGGAAAAATCAGTTCATCTTTCTCGGATCTCTCAATCTCATTTCCACCATGTAAAATTGTCTTACCTCATAGTTCGGAGGGTTCTCACGCAATGAGACTCGCCGAGATGGATTAAGGCCACAATTCGAACGGGTTTCGAGGGCATCTCGATCGAGCTTATGTTGACGCAACTGATGGAGTGGATGGGAATTATGATAGCCCAAGCTCTGAGGACAGTTTTCGAGAGCATCACGGTCCAACTTCCGTTGGCGTAACTGATGGAGTGGATGGATGTTTGGAGAAGGATAGGGCTCATTGTAGGCCAAATCTTCGGGACGGAACAAGCCGGTAGGAGACTGACGATGGGGGTGAGGATGAGGATATTGGGAATGCGAGTAGGGTCGGCGAGGGTAGCTGTTATACGGCTCGGCTGGTGTGTAGAAAGGAGACTCTTGTCGATCCAACAGATCGAAGAAGCTGGGGCTGTAGCCCGATGGTTGTTGGGGATGATGATGAGGGTAGAAGAAAGACATTTTTTTTTCTTGGGAAAAGCTGTTTCAACAAGTGGAGATGGGAGATGCTTTTTTCTCTTCTGTCTTGTTCAACTGGATGTGAGTGTCTCTCAAAGAAGTGATACCCTTTATAGCAGTTCGACGATTTCTTTGGCTACCGAAACGGCCCCAGCGCTTCGCGAACGGGCTGTGTTTACCGAACGTTCTACCGATTTCTGGAACGCAATCGGTCTTTTGTGGAGCAATCTAGAAGATTCACGCCCGGAGACCGAGCGGGGACGACCGATGTGCATACATATGCAGAAGCGTCACCCCTCGGGCTACCCGGTTATGGGCCATGGCCGTTTCACTTTGTAAACCTTGGCCTGGCCCGGCCTGGCCCAGGCGACCTGATTTCGCTCGACAAAGAAGATACACCCATCTGACAACGACGACTGACGGAACACAGAACCGGAGAGGCAGGTGGGAATTTGATGCTTTTCTCTGCTTTAACATGACCAGCATTGCCATCATGTCCAATCCTGATAGCAATGATGAAACTGTTATGTGGTTACTACACAACCAGAAAATGGAGGAGATCACTGTAGAGTCTACATACAATAAGTACACCCACTGAGTTTCAGTCACCTGTGTTCTCATCAGCACTCCCTGTAGCTACAAAATCCAAGTAAACCATCTGGGAACTGGTGAGGTGTTCTTTTTCAATGCACAAAGAATTTGATACAACCCGCCATTGCAATAACAGCCTCTGTGAAGCACTTTCTTCAATGCAAAAATTAGGTTCATAAAATCAATGATTCTTAGTATTCTCCATGTTATTTTTTGGAAGTTTATGGGAAAAACTAGAAATGATAAGTTTTGGGTTTCCCTTTGACCAAAAAGAATCCCTTCAAGGAGAAAATGCCACCAAAGTTGAACTTTTTTCTCAGTACTTCAATCACTGTATCCCAATAATGTTGGTCATTGTCAAAAGATTGAATGAACCCTTGATTTTCATGATTCTTATACCAATAACCAATTAAAGACAGAGCCAATCTGATCAAGTTTTGATTTGGTTGTGAAGAGCTAAAGTAATTGATCCCTAATTTTTGTATTTCTGAAAATTCTAATGAATTTTGAGGGTTTTTGAGAAAGTTTTGATTCTTCACAAGGAAATTTCCAAACATTGGAAATTGATTATTCTTCTGTACCATAATTAAGTTATGAAGCCATCTTAAGAATGTTTTTTTGTGTAGCTCTCCATTCCACCCATCATGTTTTGATTTGAATGTTTCTTCTAAACCTATAAAGCATGCTTTCAAGTTTACTATCAAACGGTTCAATCTATTCAGTATTTTTTTATTCTCATAAAGATGCCTTTTGTTCATAGTTACAAGAATAAATCCCTCATAAGAATCTTCTTCTTCATTATATCTTATATTTCTTGCTATAACCGGAAGGTTTTCTAGTTGTATCTTTGTAAGCATTTTATTGGCTTTTCCGTGTTTTAAAACACTTTTGAGATCTGAAAGAATTTCTTCCTCTTCTCTATCAAATTTAATTTCATACAAAATTCTGGAGTCTTCTGGTTTCAGTGTCTTTGGAAAAACACTCAAAGGAGGAATTTTGAAGTTTCCTGCTTGAATGAAATTATCTTCATGATCTTGAATTGGTTTATGAATTTTTAATCTTAGCTTGAGACCATGATATGTCACCATCCTCAATGAATTTTCAACATCTTTATCTTCATCCAGTCCCTCAAGCCGCTTTGAAATATCAGTACGGAATTTTCTGTAATATAACTTGGTAACCAAAATTGCTACTTCAAGTGCGGCATTTGACCTTACAGGTTGGGAAAGATAAATAGATAATCTGGACTGAATTGGTCCAAAATCTATTCCCTCTTCAACATATTCAAGAATTCCAAGAACAGGGGGTGTATTTCCTTCAGGATTGAAAGCCTGGTCAAACAGCCAATCTACAAGACTTTTATGAGCATGCCATTCCTCTTGGGAATTGCTTTCTATTATTCCAAATGAAATCAAAACAGATTTATTGATCAATATCATCCATTCAATCAATGTCACAAATAATGCTAATATTGGTTTTTTATCTCTGATACTCAGCAAATCTTGATTGTTGGGATTGATGTTATGAGCATGTAGAATTCTAATACCATACTGTTGAGTGGGCTCATTCCAAACTATCCTGATAGGATATTTTTTCATGGAATTCAATTCAACAACCTTTCCCCATCTCAAGGTTAGAGGAATTTCTGACATCTTTTCTCTAAATTTCAAGATGAATCCTTCAAAATATTCATCATCCATGTACATTTTATTTCTGGGTTTGTTTGTTCTAAATAGGTAATCCTTTATTTGCTCTTTCAAGGGAGCTGAGATTGGATTAATACCCTCATGAGTTCCTCCTTGCTTTTTGATTTCTTTGCCTTTGTTTTTGTGGTATTTAGCTGAATTACTTTCATTATTACCATCTTTGATTTCTTCCAAAGAATCTTTATCACACTTTTTAAATGAATGAGTTAAACTTATTTCAGGGACACCTGATGTATTTCCTTCCATCAAAGCTTCTGGAACTAAGTTTTTGAATTTTTGATGTATGGTTAGATATCTGCTTTCCAATTAATTAGGCTTTGATTTACACACTCACTTTTATGTTTGCTGTAGTCTGCAACTTGAGAATATTCCTGGCGTGTTTGGTGATCTTGCAGTCTTGTAAGATCTTCTCCACAAAAAATAAAATCCAAATCTTCCTTCCATTTGGGCTGATCCAACTGGCACTCTTTCCATGCAAGATAACAGTCTCCTAATCCCAAGGCTTCACACTTGCTTTTATTTTTGTTGTGGGTTTGACATTGAGGAGAGTCCCAATGAGTCGGGCAATCTTGGATTTGTATGCAATCCTCTCCAGGTAAATATGAACCAGAATCTGATTCCATCAATTTCTTCCATGTGATATCACCATCTCCTGATTCCAGTGGTTCAAAATAACTTTTATCTTTGCTATTATATTTGAGATTGAGTATAGTCCTGACGAGTGGGGAAATCTTGAACTTTGAATCATGTTGTCTCCTGATAAAAATAAATTTGATTCTGCCTTCAAGTCTGATTGATCCAATGGTGCTTCAAAGGAAGGATAATGGCCCACTGATCTCAAATTGATATTTCCTGATAACATTTTCCAGTTTTGAATGAATGAGGTTTCAATTGGAACAGTGTTGGCTTCTGATTCAAACATCATCTTTTCTGTCTCAACAATTGGATTTCTGTTTCTATTTACTGCATCTTGTTCATGAATTAAATCACCATGGCTATGAAATGGTAAAAAGGAAGCACATGGTAGGATTGGCAGAAAGCTGGAAAAATTGTGATTATCTTTTTCCACTTGACCAAGATTGTTTGTTTCTGGAAAGTGAATTGCAGTTGAAATAAAATTTTGATGAGGATAACTGGTGCCAATGGTTAATTTTTGCAGGTAGGAAATTGGTTTTGAGCTACTCAGATTTTGGGATTGTGCTGTCTTTTTTTTCTTGCATCCATCTGGAAACAAATGATCCATTTCATTTCCTTCTACATGAAGTTATTGACCAAGATTAGTAATGAAGTTTGGAGCTTGAAAAAAAAAAGAAAAAAAGTACCTTGGGTGGTAGTGCAATAGCCAAAATGGTATGATTGGCAGGCTTCAAGTTGATTTTCACAAGGCCTTTTGTGGCTGAGTAATTTTCCACGGTTGTATACTTCAAAGAGATCTTCTGGGCCTGGCTCAAAATTGAATCCACCAACCTTCTCTGCACCTGAATCTGACAGTGTTGAACCAGTTATGGCAATTCTACAGGCAAGATAACAGATTGCTGAGTGCCCAAGAAACCTGGAATTTTCATACATGATCATAATGCAAGGGTTTGGTGGGTATCAAGACTTCTTGAATTCATATAAAATTCAGCCACGTCTTTGCAACCCAATAGTTATTTTATCTTCTAGGCTGTGCATCTCATGCATTTTTTTACCAATCACTTGACAGCTCAATACACTTATCAAAACTTTTTAGGACCGCAGAAAAGGTGTGATCAGTGCCCTTACACCTCCTAAGATAGTGCTGTTGATTCACAATTACAGCACTGTTCAAAAATGCAATGCTTCAGATTATGTACATAGGGCTGGCAGGTGTCATCAAGGTGGGCCCTAAATGGTCTGTATGGAACCATACAGACAATGAGCCATTTCAAAAAATAAAACTGATGTGATTTCCTGAAAAGAGCAAATCTGAAACTTCCCACATGTGAATGAATAAACCAAAGAAATGTTTTTCAATTGGTCCACTCATAGAAATATGAAACAAATAAGGAAAGTAAAATGAGAAGAATGAATTAGAATATGTACCTCAATGTAGATGATTAAAAAATGAATATAACATGACTGGGAATGAGAAAGAAATAGATTGATGTGAAAGGCATAAATCAAATTAACATGAAACTCTTATCCAGACATTGAGTTGAAGAAGGGAAGCACTGGTCAACTTGGTGAATACTTGTGAATGGAAGGTATTTTACTGTGAATAATATATTGTTTCAGGAGATGTTTGAATGTATTAAGACAAAACTTGGTCTCTACACTGCCTTACCTCATCCATTTTATCTCATTAACATAGTGAGTCCATACACAGTCCAACTATGGTAATGTAACCACAACTTGTTCCCCTCCAACCATAATTTAATAGTTTTTTTATCCAGAAAACAGATACCGTAGGTGATTTCACACCCGGATAATTCACTAACCAAATCATCCAGGATATAAATCTTTTCATCCCTGAATAATTCACTGAGTGGAGTATCCAGAGGTGAAAAAGCCCCTATTGGATGATGAAAATATCAAAAAATGACTGGCCGGATATTTTATAGAGGTCAGAAAAGCTTTGAAGGTGTATTGATGCCCCAAAAAAACAACATCCTTATCTGATTGTCTTAATATAATTCATCTAAAATCTTGCTTTGTTCTTTCTAATTTCCTATTATCTACAGATGAATCCTTCTTTATCTTGGTTGCATACTTGTAATAACAAATCAAAGCCCTTTTCACCTAGTAGCTTAGTGCACCACAAAATTCCCACCCAAAAGAAAATGGAATTAGTGAATCAAGAGATAAGTTCATATTTTTCTTGAACATTCTGAAAACACATGGAATTTACAAATGGAAGAAAATATTGCAGCCTTTCACATATTTAAAATATAGCTCCATATTAATAGAACTTCAACCTATTTTTTATGAATCTATCGCAGAAAATAATGGATCAAGATTGGAGTTTTTTCTCTCCAAAGTGAAATTGTTTTAAAGAAAAACTGCCCTCATAAGTGAACTTATTCTTCAATATTCCAATGGCAGTATTCCAGTAATCCCTGTCATCCTCAAAAGAACCAATGAATCCAGAAGTTTGATGATTTTTGTACCAATAACCAATCAAAGCCAGGGCTAATCTGATCATCTTTGGACTTGGTTTTGCAGAACTAATGTAATCAATCAGTAATCTTTGCATTTCAGAAAACTCTAATGAGCTCGGAGGATCTTCAAGTAAATTTTGATCTTTCAAAATGAAACTTCCAAAGATTGGAAATTGATGTGGTTTTTGTGCCAAAAGTAATTCATGAAACCACTTGAAAAATCCTTGTTTGTTTAGCTCTCCATTCCATTCTTTGTTCCTTGATTTGAAAGTTTCTTCCAAACCAATGAAGCATGCTTTCAAGTGTACAATCATTCTATGAATCATACTGGAAATCCTTCTATTTTCAATGAGATTCTTTTTATTATGAATGACCACAAGAAACCCTTGAGAATAATTTTCCTTTTTGTTATAGCTTAAGTTCCTTGCTAAGACTGGAACGTTTTCTAGTTGGACCTTCTTAAACATTTGTTTTGCTTTTCCTTTGGTTAAGACACTTTGGAGATCTGCTAGAATATCATCTTCTTCTTTGTCAAGTCTTATTTCATACAAAATCCTTGGATCTTCAGGTTTCAATTGTTTTGGAAAAAAGCTCAAAGGTGGAATTTCAAAGTTTCCTGCTTGAACATAATGAGTTTCTTCATGACTTTCAATAGGGTTTTTAATCTTAAATTTTGATTGAATTCCACTATATATCAACCTTTTCAATGCACTTTCTAAATCACTTGCTTCGTCACTTCTCTTGAGCAACCTTGAAATATCAATCTGAACTTTTTCAAAATATGATTTGGCAATCAAAATGGCTACCTCAAGTGATTTGTTTGACCTTACAGCTTGGGAAAGATAGATTGATAATCTAGCTTGAATTGGTCCAAAATCCATGCCTTCTTCAACATTCTCAATGTTTCCAATTACAGGGGGTGTATTTTCAGCAGGATTAAAAGCTTGATCAAAGAACCAATCCACAAGCTTATGATGAGCTTCATGTTCTTCTTGGGAATTGCTCTCTATTCTTCCAAGGGAAAACAATACAGATTTATTGATCAATAACAGCCATTCAATCAGTCTTACAAACAGTATGAAAATGGGTTGTTGATTTCTAATACTTAGGGAATCTTGATCAACAGTATCTGATTTGCAAGCATCTAAAACTCTGATGCCATATTTTTTGGTGGCTTCATTGCACACTATCCTGACAGGATATCCTTTCATAGAATTTATTTTGATTTTATTTGCCCATCTCAAACTGAGTGAGCTTTCCGATAGCTTCTCCCTGAATTTATAAATGAATTCTTCCAAATATTCATCATTCATCTCCATTTTATTTCTGGGAAACTTGACCTTATTGAGATACTTCTCTATTGCTTGTTTTGAGGTTATTTTACTTGGTTTAACACCCTCTTGAAGATTTCTCTCCTCTTGTAGATCTTCCCCTAAGTCATTTTGGTTTCTATCTGGGTCAATTTCCTTATCACTTTCCATGCTGCTTGGCACACAACTTTTATCACTCAGATTATCCTTATGATTTGATTCTATCACAGGAGACACTGAAGCACTACCCCCTGACAAAGAATCTAGGAAGATCAATATTTTGAAATTTTGTCAGATAAATCCTTTCATATCATAACTAGCCTTCAATTCTCACACTTACCTTTAGATTTTCCACTATCTATAAATTGATGATTTTCCTGATGATTTGAGTGATCTTGAAGCTGTATGTAATCTTCAGGTGAGTGTGACTCTGAATTTTCCTTCCATCCTTGTATTTCTAACAGTGTATTACATGCAAGATGAGGCTCTCCTGACCCCAATGTTTCCAAATCAACCTTATCTTTATTTTGTTCTTGTGAATGAGAACAGTCCTGCTTAGATGGATAATCTTGGATGTGCATGCAATTGTCTTGAGGTAATATTAAATCTGAATTGGACCTCTGGTCTAATTGTTCCAAAAGTTTCTTACAAATACAATAAGTATCTTCTGATTCCAAAGATTCCAGATCATTTTCATCTTTACTGTGGTATTGTAATTGTGTATAGTGTGGTATTGGATGATTGTTAGGGTTTGTAAGTTGTGTATAGACCTGTGTTGTTGGATGATCTTGAGATCGAACTTGATCCTCTGCCGGTATTGGTAAAAATAAATTGGACTCTGCTTTCCAGTCATTATGATCTGGTAATACTTTCCATGTAGGATAAAGGGATCCCGATACCAAATTGTTGTGGCTTGATGGCCTGTCCATTTCCCAATTGTTGATAATTGAATTCACAACAAAATTAGCTTCTGGTGCAGATCCTAGCATTGTGTATGGTGTTTCAAAATTTGGAGTTTCTTCTGCATACACCATGTCATGTATCCCAGATGGTAAATTGGGATGGTTTGAAAACATGGTTGGTTGAAAGCTACCAAAGTGATTATTATATTCTTGGTTAACCTGAACACCTTGTGTTCCTGGATGGTGAATTCCAGTGGATATGAACTTCTGATGAGGATAATTGGTGCCAGTAGATAAGTCATGAGAGTAGGCACTAATTGGTTGTGAATTACTTGGATCATAGTATTCTGCTGTCTTTTGTTTCTTGGGTCCATGATGAAATAAAAAATTCATTTCATCTCCTGATTTGAAAAAAAAATAAGATAAGTAATGAAGCTCGGAGGTCAGAAAATGAATTATCTATGTTACCTTGGGTGTTACTAGTGCTACAGCCAAAATGTTCTCCTTGGAAGGGTCCCAGTTGATTCTCCCAAGGCCGCTTTTGGTTGAGGAGTCTTCCGAGGTTGTATACTTGGTAGAGATCTTCTTGACCTGAACCCAGACTCTCTGCACCTGAACTCGGTAGCGCTGGGCGAGCACCTGCTATCCTGAAAGCGAAGTAGCAGACCACTGAGCGTCTGAGAAGGCTTGAACTTGAATAATTCATAATCATCCCGCGGAATTTGACGAGACTTGTGGAGGCTTCTTGGATTCTTATGTTGTGGAGCCAGGTCTGCTGTAACCCAATTTGAAGAAACCCAACAAGTGTTATGAAGGTAATTGATCTTCCAGGTAGTATATTTATTCAACAGATTTACCAATCATCCAACAGCTTGGTCCACTTATCAAACCTTTCCTTGAGGTCCGCAGCAACCGTCTGATGATCGGCCTCACACTTCCGCTGGAGGTCCTGTTCAACTAGGATTATGATACGGTCTGGAAAGATGAGACTTGAGGTCATCTGCTACCCAGTAAGACACGTCTTATCTATCTTCTGACAAGAGCACACTGTAACTTCCCCTAGACAGCGACGACATTTAAATTCAACGCAAGTTACTTATCTGAAAAATGATGGATTTAGTTCTCTTGAAACCAGAAACCAAACCTGCGGCTGATATCGAAACTCATGGTCCTGCGCGAAGGCTTTCAAGGGCCGACTTGCCGAGTGGCCACGGGGGCAACACGCCAGGCCTATTAAATTTGGCTATGGCAGGGATTGGAAGAAATAAAATCTGAAATATTAATATGTGAGGTAGGCCTGTAGCACTAATTAATGGGCAGACAAATGATTTCAGTAGTGAAGAGTCAATTCCTCGTGCTGGAGAGGGGCCTGGGGAAATTTCTGCTAAACTTTCTAAGAATTTCTATTGGTGTGTATTCCTCCATAGACTGTTTGTGAGCATCTGTTTGATCTAATTGACATGAGGCTAGAGTAGTATGATGGTGGTGTTTGAGCCATGTCAGTTTTGTCAATAAGTTATTTTGTTGTTTTTGCTCAGTTTCTGACTTGTGGTACCCATCCTGAGACTGGTTTGTCAGCCACATAGTCAAGTCATCCTCCTCCTCCTTCTTCCTCCTCAACAAATATGGAGCATCCATTCAGACCACCAGTCCAACCACCGCCACCATCTAGATCGACCGAGACACCGATGGACTTCACCTACGACAAATCATCTGCCAGCTCAAGTTGTCTGTCATCCAACGAACGACCTAAATCGATGATCCGACCCTTGGTAGTGATCGACCAGAATGGCAACCACCGAGTAGGAGTCGATGGACGAAACAATTTACTATCAAGCCAGAGTCATGAGCAGCTCCGGACTATTGAGAACAAGACCTCGACGGCTTGGTTTGCTTCGCTCCGGCCATCCGCTGAGCCACCCAGGAAGAGGTTACATTGCGAGACCGAGAGTATGGACTGGGAGACTTGTCCACCCGAGCCCAAACCTAAATCATTCCCCAGCTCAAATCCTACATCAACAACAACAACCAAGCAACTCTCGCTGCCCACGCCTCCCGTCTACACTGCCCCCTCCTCCTCACTCACCTCACCACAAAAGATCGGCCCAGCATCATACGGCCTGCAACAACGTCCAGGCTCGGTCTATCGCGACGATCAAGAGGCCGACTCGAGCGTCGATATCGACCAGCTCGTCCTCCAGCCCGCCGGCCCTTCCTACATGTACTCCAACCAAAGCCCGGCCAAACACGAAAACCGGAGACGGACGCGTGCCCAGAAACAACTCCGCTCGAAACTCGGCTCGTTCAGCTTGAATAGCGACAATGAGGAGGACTCTGACGTCGAGGTGGTCTCGTCTCAACAGCGGAATCTGGTCGTCAAACAGCCCAAAGGCTCACGGAAACGTCTCGATCGGACCAAATCTGACCCAGTAACAACTAACAACTATCTGACTATCAACGGCTGGAAGGGTGCCGATGGTGTCCAACAACAACAACAACAACAAAACCCGAGTCGATTATCAACCGATACACCATACATCCTACTAGTCTATCTGCAACTACTCTTCAACTCCTCGCTAGTCTTTGTCGGCCTTTATCTGGCCATCAATCTCATCCTCATCATCCGCACCGACATCAACCATAAAGTGTTGGTCCATACCAATCGATTGCGACAAGAGATCGACCTCTGTACGAAGGAATACCATAGTAATCGCTGTTATCCCGTCAACCAACGCACCCAATTCATCGAGAAACATTGCATCCAATGGGAGGAATGTATGGCGCGTAATCCCAACCTCATCAGTCGCTCGAAAATCGGCGCTGAAACTTTTGCCGAAGTCATGAACGGCTTTGTCGATGTTATCTCTTGGAAAACAATGGTAAATCCATAAAAACCCCCCTATTTTTTACTTTTCCTTGAACCTAGCTAAAAACTTCTTTGTATTCAAACTGATCATCTTTTTAACTTGACAGTTATTCATATTCCTATCGATTGGGGCAGGAATTTACGCGACGAATCTCGCGATGAACAACTACAAATCCAAATGGGAACCTCCCAATCACCACCATCACCATCGACATCATCCACATCCGAAACCCTCTTCGTCTTCGTCTTCTTGGGCACCCCGATTGAACCAGCAAACTGATGACTCTCATCATCATACTGAGAATCAAGCCCTTGATCCTATCGCTGTCTTTGCTCGTAACCAGAAAAAATAATCTCCTCATCTCGCTTTCTCTCTCGGATCACTCACTCATGTTCATCACTGGTTTTATGACCTTCTTAGATGCCTTCTTGGCCTGTCCCCCCCCCCCTCAACTGTTCCCATGGGTTTGTATTTTTGTATGGATGCATACAATTTTTGCTTTTTTTTCTGTTTGTTTATTGGTTTTCTTCTCTCTTCTTCTCCATCATCTTTCTTTTCTCCATTCAAAAAAAACAGTTCCTTTTTTTCTTCATCTTCTTTGTATCAAGCCTCACCCATTCCATTTTCCCCTACACTAGTATTATAATCCTAAAATAAAAATAAAAAGTTCACTATCATGCTAGCTCCCATCTTATAATCAATCAATTCCTTTCTACCCATCTTCCCAAAAAACATTTATAGAAATCTATGGTGTCTTTTCTCAGGTCAGGGACAGACACATGTAACTCAAGGGGGTGACAAGACACCAGGCACTCATAGAGCTCATACCATTCAAGTCGCTTGAGGTCAAAGCTTCATTTGATACTTTCTTGTATCGTTGGTTGGTAAGACTGGACTCTCCCAGGCTGCCATTTTGGAGCAAATGTTGTTTGGCTTCAATCACTATCCTAGAATGTTGTTTTTGAGGGGGGATTCTGATCTTGGATACCCTGTCCATTCTGGGACTTGAACACTGCAGGCTTAGCAACCCCCTCCCATCTCCCCACAGTTAATCTTTTGGACATTTTTTTGGCTAGCTTCAACCTTGCTTGTGTCAGAGGGTCTGCCTAGGTGAGTGGAGTAGCATTTCCTTATTGATGCTCCCCACGCTTGCCATATATGACTTTGGGGAATAGAGATGTTGCTTCATACCTGGGTACCTGTAGCGGGTGCAGGTACCTGCCTCAAAAATCCAATATTTTGGACACCCGCACCTGCCAGGTCTGCCAGGGCGGGTACCTGGGCCGGGTACCTGCGGGTGTGGAGGATTTTTTGCAGGCAAACATACCCAGAAATCTGTCCTGATGACTGGAGGGATTCCTCCAGTTGTTGAGATTGTCTAGCTTGCTCAGCCTCTCCGTCGAACGCACGAAGTGCGGGAGAGGCTTGTGACCAAAACGAACACACCCGCGTGTTGCTTTCGCGTTTTTAGGGTGTTTTTTGCGCAGAAAATTCTAATGTATCACTTTCTACACTTTTATAGGGGAAAAATCTGGGACAGCATGCCCCAGATGCTAAAGTCAATTCTAATCAAGGAATTATCCAGAAATATTTACAACTACATTCTAGAGGAACTTTGTAATTTTCAAAGTTTCCGCTCAGATTTGTGCTTTTTGCTTATGTAATAGCTTCTCAAGGCTCGGAACCCAACTTGGATTCTTTGATTTTTTCAATTTTTCATATTTTTCAAAAAAATCTTACTCATCTGAATTTCAGGAAAAATCCCTAAAATTTGCTGAGAAGATTGGCAACATGGTCAACTTTGAACATGCTGGATCTGCCTGAAAAAAAAAGTTAAATTACATGCATGGTGGGCAATCCAAATTTTGCTACACCAAAACATGTCAATAGCGACACGTGAGCTTGTGTGTATTTGTCACAAGTCCCTCCTTCGGAGGCTCGCTTCGCGAGTGGCGCCAGCCAGCCAAGGTCACCAGGCCCGCAGAAGCTTGGGACTTGTCTCAAGTTAGTGAGATTGTACACTGTCTCAAAGGCCGGAGGGCTCCCTCTGGCCTCAACAAAGCCACCAGATTAGTTCAGCAACCCATGTAGGACACCAGCCAGTGTCCTACATGGATTGCTGACACCTTTGTGCAGCCCAACACACCCAAAAAAGGGAGTGTTGGACCGCCAATGATAATTTAAATTCTTCAGGGGAAGCATTCCCGGGTACCCGCTTTGGAAAACAGGTACCTGCAAATGGGTACCAGGTACCTGCTGACATCTATATTGGGGAACCTGCCCCCCCCCCATCTCCTACTTCTCCAAAAGGGCTGGGAAATTTGCCTCCAGCCTGTTAGTAGAATCAGGCAGGACTGGGGGGATTGTTTCCAGCGGTCACACCCTTTTGTGCACTAAGATCCAAGCCCCTTGGGGCGGGATCTACAACTTGGCACCAAGTTTTTCTTCTTGGTGATCATCTTCTATATCTGGATAGTTGTTGCTTGAATCTAAGGTTCCGACCCGGACCCCGCAAATCCGGAAGAATCCGGCCAACCCGCGGACGGGTTCAGGGTTCGGGACTGGGATTTAGAAACCCGGTATCCGGTCGGATACCAAGTCCCTGATGGTGTTTGCTGGTGTGTGGGGGCACTGGTAGCAAAGAGAGGAGACCTGCTTCGGTTGTTATTACTTTTTGGCCTTTGTGGCGCTCGGATCAGTCTCTGACCAGAGATTCAGAGTGATGGGCAGGTAATTATGTATGTAGGATTGTAGAGACAAGTAAAAAAGATTGGTTGATTCAAAAAGAGAGAGTAAAAGTGATCGGTTGATTCAAAAAGAGAGGCATAACGGAGGTGATTCAAAATGAAGCGACATGTATATCTAAGTAGACACCAAGTTGGCAGTGTCATGAATGTTGATCAGGGAATCGTTGATCCAGTTTTGTAAACAAATAATTGATTCAAGAGTTTTACACTTCATTCGGTTTTGGCTATAATCCTGAATGTGTCGGCCGATTGAGAAAGCTCGTTGCAGGGAGTACTAGATGCAGAGACAGCTAAGTAGGTCTGAGCCATCACAGCCAAGGTTGGAAATCGTTTGGAGTTGCACTTCCAGTAATGTAGTGGCTGACAACCCTCTTCTTCACATTCGGAGTCGAGGTATACTGAAACTTTGTCTTGTAGTGAAGTTATCTTGATTTTTTTCTTTTTGAACAAGGCTGAGCTGATTGACTCGTCATCGCAGGTGTTTTTATCCTTCTCGGAGGGCTGGTGATTGCTGTAACAAGACCCCTCAAAATCCTTTGCAGTATCTTTGAACATTTGAAGGACTTCCTCCCGGTTCATGTTGATGAGATCGAGGACATTACTACTTAAGACATTTGTTTTTATCCGAGGATCGAGTAGAGATGAGCAGAGATAGACCGGCTTGTTAACGGCCTGTTCGAAGTATTGATTTAATTTGGCAACAACCTTGGTTGAAGCTGGAATCAACTCCTGTGCATCATATCTCAATCGTGCCTGATGTTCATAAATTGTAAGAGGATGTCAGTGGAGGAATCAGGATAGTGTGATGGAGCCGCTTGAGAATTTACCTTATCTACTGCTTCAATCAACCATTTGTAGACTGGCGCCGCTAGCATCATCGAAACGTAGTTACTTGAGGACATCATCTTAGTCGCTTTGTAGAGAGGCTCAAGGAAGACGCAAAGCTGTTGAACCTTTTGCCACTCGTATTCTGAAAGATTGTACTTTTCTGACATGAGTTTCTTTGACAAAAAATTCGGATCGTCTCTTGGATTTGGTAAGCCCGTTCAAGCATTGCGAACGTCAAATTCCAACGGGTTGACACATCAGCAACCATGACAAGTTTCTTTCCATTTAAGGCCTTGCTGAGGTTTTCAAATTCAGCCGCTTTTTGAGTTGATTGTTTCAAGTAAGTGGCTAACTTGCTAATCCGAGAGATGAGTGCTCATATTTACTTGAGGAGGCGAATCGATCAGGATGTCATGAAGGCTAGAACGAGGATTTTCTTGAGGAGTGGCCTCTGAGAAGGCCTTGATACTGGCTTTAGCTGCTAAGTTGATAACATGTGGCATGCATCCAAGCATGCAATTCTCATTATCGAAATCAATAAGAGAATTGAGCTCCTGCCCCATCGTTATATTATTTGAAGCGTTGTCAGCCGTGATACAAAAAATCTTTTGGGTGATTCCAAAAACTTCAAGGACTTCGGCAAGATGAGACGCCAAGTTCGCTCCGGAGTGTGTACCATCGATTATTTTCACCGCTAAGATCACTGATTTAAGCTCGTAGTTTTGAATCCAGTGGGCCGTAATTCCAAGTACCGAATCGTTTCCAGGTGAGGTCCAACCATCGCAAGTCAAGCTGATTTTGGAAGTCACTTTTTTGAACATAGATTTAAGAGCTTCTTGGCCGTTCAGGAATGTCTTCAAGATAAAGCTAGCTAGGGTGTCCGCCGAAGGTAAGAGAGACTTCGTGGCAGGGTTGCAAAGCTCCAACAAATTAATGAACTCCGTATGTTCAATAGTCTGGTAAGAGATGTGGGACTTGACAACGAATCGACCTATAGCACATAATAAGCTGTCCCTATCGAGCTTCTTCTTTGACACCGGTTCGCTCTTTTCAAGGAACTTCACGAGAGATCCAACTTCACGCGCGTTATTCTTTTTGATGCCGTGTAGGTTGGACAGATGATTGATCATGCTTTTGGTAGAGCCTCGTTTGTCCGGCTTGATCTTCGCAAGGCATATAGTGTTGCCTTTAGGTACTTTTGATGCCTGGCAAACGTTCGAGGCTTGAAGTACTGCCATACCCAAGAAGACCAACCTTCTTGAGTTGAATTTTCGGCATGAGTTGAACCACTTGCTTCAATCACTGAGTCGCTGGATTCGGAGGGGGAACGCGGTCGAGTTGGCATGATATTGGTGGCTGGAGCCTGGCAGTAGGCTGCAAGAAGAGATTATTGCCCAAGTGGGGTGAATGGACAACAGAAAAGACTTGGGAAAGTCAAGTCACGTCCCCCACTAACACCCTGCTCTTGCACATTTAAAATTATCTACAAGATCCGGTAAAACCCGGCCCAGGGCCGGATACCCGCCGGGTTCGGCTGCAGGATGGGTGAAACCCGGATCCGAGGCACCGGGTCGCAACCTTACTTGAATCCAAGTTCTAGTTTGCTTGCAAGTGTTCTGAGGTGAATTTCTTTCCCATTAGGGTTGGGACTCCAGATAGCACTCACTCCATGCTTCCTTTGGTTGTGCACAAGCAGTCCAGCCTTTCCTTGGCTCACAGGACCTGTGTCATCCTACGGCATTCCTGTGACTCCCAGTTATCAAACAGTACATCCTTGTGTCAAGATTACTTGAACTAAGATTTCATATTTGACAAAGTTTGTCACATGTTTTGGGACTTTTTGTATGTACAAAATATTAATTTGTACTGATCTATCACTGACTTTGAGTCTTGGCCAGTATGTTTTCTTGTACATGGTTAAGTTTTTGTCTGAAACCAATGTTGAAAAGACTGAATTTCCTGAAACATGTTTGAGAAACAAAAAAAGACACTTCAGGGAAACAGGTGAGGAGCTCTAGTCATGCTTTGAGACATTCCAGTATTGCTGGACTCATTCTGCTACAATCTTAAACCTGAGGAGAATAAAAACCAATCAGAACTTTAAACTCCACATATTCCAATCAAAAATCCACTTCTACAATCTCTTCAACAATGTTTCTTTGTGATATCTATGTAATGTGATACACTGCCACAT